GATAAATTTTCAATATTTTCTAAAAGGTTTAAGACGTCAGATAATCCAAAAAGTATGTCAGGAGTGCGTTGCTTTACTTCGATTTCTTTATCATCGTGTAACCAAAATTCCCTTGGATCACTGGGACAATAGATTTTCATTTGATCTAAGTTGGGTGTAGTATACCCTTCGGTAGAAGTAATAGTTCCATTTTTCAATTTAAACTCGATTTTGATCCTATATGATGTGAAGCGGGACTTGTTACCAGCGTATCCATCTACTTCGAGTTCAGTTTTATGTTTAATTTCCGAATCTGAAATCCCTAGTTTTTGTGCAAATCGCTCACTAATCAAAGTACAAGTGGCTCCTGGATCCATTAGTGTGAAACCTCTAATTGATTCTTTTCGACTATTTAAGTATTCAATATTTTTAGTCATGAGCAATGTTTTTATATTTTTGTCTTTCAGAGAGAGAGTGTTGATCTTTTCTAATTCCCTGTTATTTTGTGTACTATTTACTTCCATTATGTCTATCAGGCAGTTCATATCTTCTTGGGAAAATCCTGGATCTGTATTTGTATTCTCACCTGTGTTTTCTCTTATATTATGAATATTTTCTCGTTTGATTGTGTTTTTGGGACAGACAGCAAAGTAATGAGGTTGTGTGCAACTCTGGCATTTTATCTTATTATTTTTACAATATTTGGCAATATGATTCCGCTCGAAACATTTGGTACATTTTCTCAAATCTTTTAACCTTTGTATTCTAGTCTCAAAATTTATATATTTTTTACATTGGACGGAACTGTGATTATCGATCTCACAAAAGACGCATGGCCTTCTCTTTTTATTTGTTTCATTGGAATATCTATTTATTTCTGGTTTTGGTTCCCGCCAATTAGTGTTTCTATCCCTCTCTATATTATTAGTAAATACATTATGATTTTGGCGAGGAGGAGGGCGTCTATAATTCGATGAGGAACTTTGGCCATAAACCGCTTCTTTAATTTTTAGATGCTTGTCAATTGAATCTAGGAGTCGGTTAATTGTCCAGTTAGTGGGATTTTTATTTTGTTCTTCAAGTATGACACAACTAGCCCATCCCCCGAACTTGTTTTCAATTTGTTGTAGCAGGGCACCATTGTCGATTTCTTCCCCTAATGCCTTCAATTGCTGGGTGATTCGATGTACATTTATCCAATTTTGACGAACGTCTTCCGTTTTTAATGCCCGAGGACAAAGCTTATTTAATTCCCCATACAATGATCGTTTAACTGAGATCTCATCCCCAAATCGTTTCCTAAGATGGTTCACTACTAACGGATAATTTAAGGCTGTTATTGCAAATCCGCTCACTTCACTGATGAGGCGGATGAGGCCGAGCGAGGGAGGCAAGTAAATACGTTAGTTTTTCAGAATCGTCTAGACTATGATTTTTATCTATTGAAACTTCAAAAAGACTCCAGAAGCTTGGCCATTCCGAAACCTTTCCATTAAAGAGAGGAAGATTACAAACTGGCAGTCGAATAGAAGTCGAATGTGCAACCGATGTATTGGCGACAGAATTATCATTATGAGACGACGAGGAGACTTCAATCAGCTTAGCTTCGATTTCACAACTTAGATCCCTCGCTATTTCGATTAGGGCTATAAAACCATCCTCCCCCTCCGCGTGGGTGTTATAATCTTTCAACATATCCTCTTTCCTATCCTGCGCCTCGAGACCTATGAGCTTCGCCCAGTCTGTATTGATCTGTTCCAACACTTCTACAGATCTAGCTAATTTCAGTTGTTGTGCTCTCAGACTCGTTATGCTTTCGGGGTTTACTCCATTATCTGATAATTCTTTGATCGACTTTATATATCCAATGGTTCTTTTCCTGAGTGGACCTAATCTCATTTTAAGCGGTCCCGCGAAAGTGCGATTTGCCATTTATTATTTTAATTTTAAATACAATTTTTAGGTGTATATTAAATACAAAAAATTAAAAGCAATTGTGTGTATATGAATATTTAAATTAATACAATTGTAAGTTTGTTTAAATAGTATTAAATTAATTATTCTTTTATTCTTTAATTAGAGCGGCTAAACGTTCAAACAAAGCGGCACAAGCACGAGAGGTTTGTCCAATTTGCGAATACACTTCAGCAAGTTGTGCTGCTTTACGTACGGACTCCCCCTTCTTTTTTGCTTTGGCTATTTTCTCTGCTTCGCGCTTTTGTACTTCCAAGATTTGATTTTTCACTTCGGGCTTCTTTTGAGAAAAATTTAGTAATCTTCTTAGAAAGACTATATTCACCTTTGGACACGTGACAGGAGTCTTTGAATGAACACGATTGGGAATCACTGCTTCTGCTCGTGTCGTTTGATGATCCTGCTATTGGAAGGATTAGATTTGACCAGATAGCAGTAGTAAGAAGTTCAGCCCTTTTTGTTCTCCCAGCGATTACAATTCGGGAGTTTACCTTTTTGTTATTGTTGTCGTTCCGGGAAGAGTATGGCCTTTTATGAGCAGCGATCGGCGGTGAACGTCTGGCACTTCCAATTCTTGGAGTAGAGGGTGAACGAGGCCTTCGGGGAGTTTGCTGTTCAGCCAAGGCTGGTTTTGTTTTCACAGCAGTGTCCGACGGTGGGTTAAACCTAATCCAATTACAAGGTACACAAAATTTATTAATGGGGCAAAGAGTTTTCTTTACAACAACAAACTTTTTGTTAGGTGGAGGCCAATCATCATCATCATCAGAAGTATCTGTTTCAGTTGATTTGATATCTTTACTTGGAACAGCAATTGGCTTCTGGTTATTGCCACGAGTTGGATTGGAAGAGCCAGCAGTAGAAGACGAGCTTGTATTAGTAGTTGTGGCGCGACCGGAAGATGTACAATTTAGTTTATTAATTGATCCAGAATTTGTAGTAGTTGCTTCAGGGGTAGAAACAAATTTTTTCACAACACAAATTAAGCAGTTGCAGTTAGTGTTGTCGGAATGCACGCCTTGAGCCGAGGCAAGGATTTGTTGAAGCACAGCAGGTTTAATGGATTCCGCCACTGAAATTTGAGTTATTAGTAAGGTTTAGTCGAGGTGCCTCTCCCGGAGCACCACTTTGTCAACTAAAGGCTTACTTTGACAAATAAATTTTTAGGGAAGCTAGGTCCCAAGAGTTATTGAATAAAGTGAATTTAAATAAAATATTTATCTTTAAAATTAAAAATACAATTAAATATTTTTGTAAAGAATTAATGGAAAATTGAAAACTGAAGATGATAGGGAAGATCTGCCTATTGTTTATATAGGGGATTTAATGGACAATAGGCAGAGATTTACACAATAATGAATAGAGAAGTGATATGAAAAATAGTATTAACGAGGGGTGAAAAGACAATAGTTTCCGGAAAAAAGAAGAGAGAATAAAGGGTCAAAGTGGCAGCTTATGGGAAAATAATTTATGACATTGTCTGTCGTGGACAGGTGGAATAAAGGGAAAATTAGAAAGAAATATTTAAATTTATTAATAATTATAATTTCGTGTTCCTTACACGACATCGATCTATATGGGAAAAATGCTATTTGAGGGTAATAGTTTAGCCAGTTTAAACTAAATTCCAATGATTACCCCGCCGCGACACCAAAAAATACATAACAGATCACGGTGTTGGACCAGTCTTGATTAGAGGCCAAAACTGATGATTAGCTGGTATGAGCCGTTCCTTTTTGTTTACAGAATTCATGAAAGCACCCAACTCTTCATTATAGGTTAAAAATTGTATCAAACAATGAGCTTCATTATGACGTTTAAGGGGTTGTTTTACAAAAGTGACTTAGCGATTTTTTTTGATTTTGCGGCAATTCATGGGGTATCAATTGACCCTTCATAACTTGTTTCCCAGTTCAAGTAAAATTATGTAAATTTTTGTAAGTGAGCAGGTGAGTGCCTGCCCCAATATACAAATTTTATTTTTTGGATTGGCTTTGATTCAGTGGAGAACGTGATTCTTATATATCGTAGGTTGGCATCCAAGACGTTATTTGTCTTTCAGCTCCTCTCTACTTTTCTTTTATTTGGAGAGCCAACTTTTTTCTGTGGAATATGAGATAACATCCCCATACTTAGCTTTGCATATTTTGCGCCATGATTACTTTTCCGAATGACCAAGTTCAATCTCATATTTGAACTAGACACCAATTTCATAATTTTGCCTTAAATTTTAAAAATTCATAAAAAAATTTTTAAGTAAAGAAAAAATTTCAAATATTTCAGAAAATAAAGAAGGCATCATTGTAAATATAAGACAAAAAAATTAAATAGATTGGAGAACTGAACATAGAGATATAAATTCTCAAACTTACATGGTTTAAGGGGGGCTAATTATTTATGTTACACCCTAATAAAATGAAATATAGAATTCATTTAAAAATATATATAAAATTGTAAAAAAAATAAAATTAAAAATTGGATTTTTAAAATGAGAATTTGTTGGGGGATTTGAAAAAAATTTTGTTAAAAAATTTTCCTTCAGATTATTTACCGTTAAATTTTTATTTTTTCCCCAAAGGATGTTCTGAGGAAGTCCCGGTCATATAACTCATAAAGAGGGCGCCACTTTTTAGTGTTCTTTTTACTCAAATTTTTCGGTCTTGTGTAGTTTACCCCCCATAAGCCACGCTCCCGTGATTTTTACTTTTAATTTTATAATAAAATTTAAAATCCAATTATTTAATTTAATTTTTTTGAATATTAAATTAATTTAAATTTTGACTTGTCTGGTAGAGAATTATATATTTTTATTTTAACGTTATTTGTAGTCTTTTATTTTAACGTTATTTGTAGTCTCAACTCTGCTTTTTGTTATATTCTTAGAACGCCTTGTTCTGATGGGGATGAATCCGGTGTTATTTATGTTTGGAAAGGCTCTAAATGTGATTCCTATTTTTTCAAAATTGCTGAAGAGGTTTTTTTTATTTTTTAAGTCGATATTTGATTTTTGCGGACATACGTTTCTGGTTTTTTCTGTTCTGATTTAATTTTCGCCTAGTCACGAGTTTTATGTTAATTGAGAACTTATGTCCGCAATTGCAAAATCCTCAAAAAATTTGCGGACGAAAAAAAATTTGCGGACAAAAAATTTTTTTGCGGACAACAAAAAGTTGCTTACAAAATTTTTTGCAGACAAAAAAAAATTGCGGACAGAAGAATTTTTTGCGGACTAAATTTGTTTTGATGAATAATAGAGTTTTATTTGCAGAAAAAACTAGTCCTAAAAATTTGCTGACAATTTTGCGGACACCAACTAGACTTTCTATGTATTTCTCTTTTTAGTTATGATTTTTTTATTCCTATATTCTGAAATTAATTCTGATTTTTAGTTCTGATTTTTCTTTTTTTTGGTTTACTGGGCAAGGTTTGTCCGCAAATTTTGTCCGCAAAAATTTTGTCCGCAAATTTTGTCTGCAAAAATTTCATTTTTTTGAAAAATTAAATTTTATTATATTTAAAAAAAGGTTGCAAATGAACTTGTAAAAAAAGATTTAAAATTGCCCATTGAAATAATTGAAGAAGGAAAAGAGCCCCAATTATTTTGGCAAACCTTGGGAGGAGGAAAGAATAGAAAATATGATAAAAATGCAGATTTTATGCAACATACAAGACTGTTTAGATGTACAAATGAAAAGGGCTATTTTTCTGTGTCTGAAAAAACTGTTGATTTTTGTCAGGTTTCTTTTAATTTTTTTAAATTTTGATTTTAATTCTGATTTTAGAAATTAGAATTCTGATTTTTAAAATCAGAATTCTGATTTATAAAATTTGTTCTGATTTTAAAAATCAGAATTAAAAGTCAAAATTCTGATTTTAGAAAATTCTGATTTTAATTCTGTTTTTTTTCTGATTTTTAAAATCTGAACTCTGATTTTAGAAAAGTCTGGTTTTTAATTCTGATTTCAAAAATTATTCTGATTTTTTATTCTGATTTTAAAATTACCTAATTCTGATTAGGATTCTGAATTAAATTCTGGTTTCTAAAATCAGAATTCTTATTTTACCGGAATTAGAATCACAATTCCAATTTCAAAATTCTGAAATTTTAGAAATTAATTTTTTAGGAGGATCTTGAAAATGATGACGTTATGATTGTGGATGATGGCAATTTTGTTTATATATGGCTGGGAACTGGTATAAACATTTTGTTTAATTTTTTTCTGATTTTTTTTCTGGTTTCTTGGCCACAATCCTAGTTTTTCTGGTCCGGGTTGTTTCTGATTTTTAAATCATACGGGGTTTTTTTTCTGTTCTGATTTTATTTTTCAAATTCTGATATTTATTCTGAATTGTGATTTTCTTATCAAAATTCGGATTTCTGGTTTTTGAACCATAATTCTGATTTTTCCTGTCCGGCCAATTCTGATTTTTTGTTGTGATTTTTCTAAAATTAATTCTGGTCCCTCTGATACTTAATTCTGATTTATATTCCCATCTTCTGAAATTATTTCTGATTTTTTTCTGTTCTGGTTTTCTGATTTTATTGACAAAATTCTGATATTTATTCTGAATTCTGATTTTTCCCCTTGTATAAATTTAAAAAACAAAATTTTTAAAGGTGCCAGTGAGGTTGAAATAAAATTGGCCTATAAAGCAGCTCAAGTTTATTGTGGACATATACAAATGAAACAGCCTGAAAGGCCTAGAAAATTGGTTTTTTTTTAAATTTTTTTTAATTTAAAAATAAAAAATTTTTTTTTCAAGTTATTGTCAATAAAAGATCACGAATCTAAACGGTTTTCTCGACTTTTCCATGGATGGGGAAAACACAAAATTCCTGCTGGGACTGAAGGAAAATGAAGAAAAGATGAAGAAAGGATGGGTATTTTTAAAAAAATTAAAGAATTTGTCCGTAAAAGAAAATCCGCAAAAATCAATCCACTAAAATCAATCGATTAGTTATCCTTAAGGCTGTGATTTATAGGCAAATGCCTATTTTTTCTGCAAGCTTGGGATGTTGTAATACGTTCAAAAAACGTGTTTTTAGCTCGGTCCGATAAGTCTAGCATGACTTTTAATATGCCTATTTCTGCCTATTTTTGACTTTTTGTGCCTTTCTGCCTATTTTGAAATTTTTGGTACTATTTTTGCTTTTTTAGCGATTTTTTCGAAATTTTGCCTAAAAATCAGTGCAAAATCTAAAAAAATCAGTCCCAAATTAGAAAAAATCAGTGCCAAGTCCCATTAATAATTTTTAGTTCGTTAAATTGTTTATTTTTACTCTGTTAGACATTTTGAACTGGGACGATCTGGTTTTGGGACGTTTTGGGGTGCGGCGTTTTGTGTGTTGGGCGAGATTTCCATTTTGTCAATTATCGGGATTTAAAAAAAAATTTACTTCATTTTTTTCAAAAAATGATTCAAAATGACGAATAAATGGTAAAATTGTTTAAAAAATAGTTTATAATTTAAAAAATGACGATTAAATGGTTATTTTTTTCTGTTTTTATCTACATTTATGGTCTAATATCCTTTTTTACATGCCTATTTTTGTGCCTTTTTCGGCTTTTTTGTGCCTATTTTAGGCGCCTATTTTACTGATTTTACTTGCCTAACTATCACAGCCTTAGTTATCCTTATGAAATTTTTGCGGATTTTTTTTGCGGACAAAAAAATTTTTTGCGGATTTTTTTGCGGACAAAAAAATTTTTTGTGGATTTTTTTTGCGGACAAAAAAATTTTTTGCGGATTTTTTTGCGGACAAAAAAGAATTTTTGCGGATATTTTTTTGCGGACAAAAAAATTTTTGCTGACATTTTCAGCAGCTGACATTTTCAATCAATAAAATATGGGAAAGAATTTGTCCGCAAAAGAAAATCCGCAAAAATCAATCCATTAATTTTTGAGACTTTTTTAAAATTATCTCTTTACCAATAATATTCTACTAATCATCCATAACATAGCCTTAATTTTTAATTTTCTTGCCTTTTTTAATAGACAAATTTTTGATGAAATAAATTTAATTTTTTCTGTAAATATTTAAAAACTTTTGGACAAAAATAAAAATATATATTTTAAAAAAAATAAAATTTTTAAGAATTAACCAATATTTGCGGACAGAAATTTTTTGCGGACAAAATTTTTTGCGGACAAATATTTTTTTGCGGACAAAATTTTGCGGACAAATATTTTTTTGCGGACAAAATTTTGCGGATTATTAGGTATCCGCAGACTTTTGTCCGCAAATGTCTATCTAAAAAATTTATTGTTATTTGCGGACGGAATTTTTTGCGGACAAAAATTTTGCGGATTATTGATAAATGTCCGCAAATTTTTGTCCGCAAATTTCTAAAAAAATAAAAATTTAGAGAATGTGACCTCCACATGAATTTTACCTAGTAAATCACATTCTTTTCTCTCGTTACCATTTTCTATTAAAGGTAAAAATAGTAAGAAGTTAAAAGATTATAAAAAATATGCACAAACACTAACTTACACACAACTAATTATTAATTTATCAACCCACTTCGTTCCTCTCTCTTCCTCCTTTCCCAATTTATCAATCCCCAAACCTTCCCCTCCCTCCCTTCCCTCCCCCTGTTTTTTGCTCTCCCCTCTCCTTCATTATAGGTATTTTGTTCTTTGTGTGCTTGCTACCTTTACTACTACTATTTTTAAAAATAACCAAAGATCTTCTTTTTCTCTTTAAAAATAAATTAATAATACAGTCGTGGAAAAAAGTATGGAAGCGCTAGAAAATTTTTTCTTAATTCTTAATTTTTCATTCAAAAAATACGTTCTATATACCAATCGAAAGCTCTATTCGTATCTCAGTTGACATGTTTCTGCATTTTTCATGAAAATGAAAATTGGCCGAGATAATCCGGATCTGCCGGATATACCAAATCCCACTTTTTCGGAAAAATTTTTCGGAACAAATTTAACAAACCCATTTGATAAAGCATATTTTTCTGAGTATTTTCCACAAAACCGCTTAGAAATATCTTTTTCCGGAGCAGAGATATGATTTTTTGAAAATGGCATTTTTCGTCTATTTTTGCAAAAAATTCAATTTTTAAGCGAAAAATGCCATTTTCAAAAAATCATATCTCTGCTCCGGAAAAAGATATTTCTAAGCGGTTTTGTGGAAAATACTCAGAAAAATATGCTTTATCGAATGGGTTTGTTAAATTTGTTCCGAAAAATTTTTCCGAAAAAGTGGGATTTGGTATATCCGGCAGATCCGGATTATCTCGGCCAATTTTCATTTTCATGAAAAATGCAGAAACATGTCAACTGAGATACGAATAGAGCTTTCGATTGGTATATAGAACGTATTTTTTGAATGAAAAATTAAGAATTAAGAAAAAATTTTCTAGCGCTTCCATACTTTTTTCCACGACTGTAATTATTTTGCAGATAATTGAGCAAATAAATATTTTTTAAGAAAAAGTTTTCCCATAACAGCGCGCCCCACCTTCATTCCCCTTTTTGACCTATTTCTTTATCTATTTCATTATTAATTTTTAAAGATTATTTCTTTTAACAACGACAAATTTATATTAATAAAATTATTTTTCAAATGCAAGCCTTCCAATAAAAATTTTTTTGGAGGTAGCGACATTTCGTCCCATTAGAAAAAAAAGTGACATTTCATCCCACACTCAATTTTTTCGTTTTTTATTCGAGAAATCAACAAAAAGCTTCTTCTAGTTTCTTTCCTAGCTGATTGAGAGGAAGGAAAACGGCGATTTGTGTCCTCTACTCAAGAATGTCCATTTCTCTATTATGTGTTTTTGACCACACAGAAAGCTCCTCTGATCCCTTTTTATTTTTTCCTCTAAAATAAAAAAAATGAAAGATTTATTTATTCCCAAACAATTCCCATAATTAAATACCCTCAAAAATTTTCTGAATCATTAAAAAAAGAAATAAAGATGAGGATAAATCTGTTTGGATTAATTAGAGGTAGATTTGCTTTATTAATGAGACAAACTGGCTTATTTTCTTCTATTGGGCGAATTGTAACTTCTGCTAGTTTAGGTGTTTTGTTTAGACATTATGAAATTTTGGACTTTTCTTTTTCTGTGTTGACTAGAGAAAGAGAGTTAGAGTGTGAGACGAACTGGCTTATTTTCTTCTGTTGGACGAAGTGTAGTTTGGTGTTTCGTTTAGATATTTTGTAATTTGGCGCCTTTATTTCTTTACTTTTTGTGTTAATTAGAGAATGATAGAAATAAAGAGTATAAGAAAGGCGGAGATCGTTATTTTTCGCAGTTAACAAATTTTCTTTTCTCATTTTTTAGATTAATTTAAATTTTCTTATTAGTTTTTTCTATTAATTCCTCTAAAATGGCACAAAAGAAGGTGACTATTATTGGATCTGGGAATTGGGGTTCAGCTATTGCACGGTTTCTTTCAATACGGGCGAAGATTTAACTTAAAGATTAGTTTTTAGAATCATCGGCAACACAGTTGTGTTGCACAGCACTACATTCCAAACGCGAGTGCCTATGTGGGTGTTCGAAGAGGTCTGTTTTTTAGTTTATTTAAAATAGTTCTACTAGATATTTGAGGTTTTTCAAAAAATCTGGGTCTTAAATTTCTAATCCGCTGTCTTGGTCAAATCCTGGTCCTTGAGTTAGCAGGAACCAAAAGATCAGGAAAAACCCTGTAAACTTAACTGAAATACGCAGGTCTTTTTGGGGATTAACCCCCATATAAACTGAAAATGGACGCTTTATGACTTTTTTTCTGCCAGTGCTCCGCTTCTAGTTTAATAAAAAATGTTTTGCCATTAGCGAGGTTCGAACCTTTGACCCTTGTTTTTCGAAACCTAAAATTTTCCGACTGAACCAAGAAGTCCTTTTTCTTTTATTTTTAATTTTTCATGTACATTTTTATTTTTTCTCTCAAGATGGTTGATGACAAAAAGCTTAGCGAAATTATCAATACTGAACATATCAACGTTAAGTATCTGCCTGGAAAGGTTTTTTTACATCGAAAAGATTTTCAAAGAAATTTTTCAAAATTTAGAAATTGCCAGAAAACATTGTTGCCGTTCCTGATCTTCTTGAGGCTACAAAGGTTTTTTTTGTTAAGTGTGGGTTACCTTAAACCAGTTATTGAAGACGTATTATTCGACGGATAATGGTCAATTATAAAAAGAAAATCATTCCAACTTCCCAAATGTCCGCGAAAAGTGTCCCAAAGAAATGTTTGCGAAAAACATCCCCTAGAAATGTCCGCAAAACTCTTGTCCACATCTTTTGTCCGCAAAAATGCCTTGTCCGCAATTTTTGTCCTCAACTTTTTTCAATACATTGTGTATCTGGGAAGTATGTATGTTCTGACCATTATGAGACCTTTATGATGACGAGATTATGAGTCCGCATAAATATGTCCGGTTAAACTGGTTTGGGGTGTCCACTAGTTCCGAGATTTTCAGTTTACCGAGGGACTTTTTTTAATCTTTAGGATGCTGATATTCTCGTATTTGTCGTTCCCCACCAATTTGTTGAGAAGCTTTGTAATCAATTGAAAGGAAACGTCAAAAGCAGCGCTGTAGCAGTCTCTCTCATAAAAGGACTTTCTGGCAAGTCTACAAGCTCAAAACTTCGTTTAATCTCTGAGGACATTAGTGAAACTCTGGGTATTGATGCGGCGGTTCTGATGGGGGCGAATTTGGCACCTGAAGTGGCTAATGATAATGTGAGGTTTTTTTAAAATATATAAGGGTTTTTTGAGATTTGGACGGAAAAATGATTTTCTTTATTAATTTTATTTTTTTGTTAACCTCTTCCTTAAACTCAACCACCCTAAATACTCAAATTATGAACGGCCAAACTCGGCCCTATTAACCCGCACCACAACTCAATAGAAAGTCGATGGTCCTCTGTCGATTGGTACCAAAAAATTATGTACATTTTTTGCACAGTATCCGATGTTTCCTTATAAGGCCTTTCTGTCCATTATTTTCCTCTAGTCAGAATAAAAATGCCTATAAGGGATAGCTACAGAAAATGACTCGTAATGATGAGGCTACAAATATTTTTTAACTTTGTAGCCTCATTTGATCCTTTCTAGGGTTGAATTTTGCGATATTTTTAACAAATAAAAATTGTTTTTCGAACTCATAACCCCTCTTTTCTCGTGATTTTCCAACTTAACCAAAAAGGTGATTTTTGTTAAGTGGCTTGGAATGTGAGTGATTTTGGGTGTTTAAAATTTTATTTTGGCCATTTCTAGTTAATCTTGAGATTATATGTTTTAATAATTTAAAAAATGGTTTCCACTGGACGGGTTCGAACCCACAACCTCTCTTAATGGGATCCAAACATTTTCCAATTTAACCAAGGATTGATTTTTTGTTTAATGATCTGAATTATGAGAGATTTTAGCTTTTTTAAAATTTATTTTGCAAAAAATTCATTTAAAAAAATTTTCAGTTCTGCGAGGCAACAATTGGCAGCAAAAATCTTGCTACAGCAATCGAACTCAAAAAGCTTTTCCACACAGACAATTTCCGTATTAATATTGTTCAAGATTTTCAAACTGTGGAAATTTGTGGGGCTTTGAAGGTTCTTTTAAAATTATTTTCGTTGATTTTATTTTTTTCTAGAATGTTGTTGCGTGTGCAGCAGGTTTTTCTGATGGCTTGGGATATGGAGACAATACAAAGGTTAATTCACTATTAAGTTTTTGTTGTTTTTTTTGAGTGGGGTCGGGATTAAGCTATTTGTTTCTGAAAAAAGTTTCTGAACAACGGACCCAGATTCCGGCCATTTCTGTTTTAAAATTTCGATTTTTGAGGGGTTTTCTATTTTTTGTTTCGGAACAGCTCTGATTCTGCTCCAAAAAACCAAAAATTTATAACGGATAATATTATATCTATTTTTTTGTGTTTTTTCTTCACAAAAAGGAACTTATTTACTTTAACTACCCACCCCATTTATTCGCAAGAAGTTCATCAATCAAACTTAATTTGTTCAGAAAGGTCAACCTTTCTTTCTTCCTTGATGTTACTGTCATGTCCGATGTTCATGCTGTGAAAAAATCGCGGATGGGAGATGGAATAGAACCATCACGGAAACAGCCCAGACCGAAGCACAACCGACTGTGCCACCATCCAACACGATGACGGGTTATTTATTTTCATTTATATTCTTTCTGCAAGTGCGGACACAACAGTTACTCAATTTTCCCTGTGGCATTATTCAATGAGAGAAATTAATAAAGAAAAGATACATTTTTCTTTCCAATTTCACCAAAATAGAAGTTAACGTTCGAATCAATATTCTTATTTTTTCCATTTTAGTTATTATTACCACATGGTTACCATGTACTTTTTTGGTACCATTCTTTTATTCTTGTCTTTTTTACATGAGTTTTAACTTCTATGGCTGTGCTTATTTTGTTTGATAAACATTGAATATGCCACAGGGAAAATTGAGTAACATCGAGGACTCAAATAACGTTCGATTTTTGATTAAACATGGACGAATCAAAAATTCTAACATTCACGACTCAGTATTCTGAATAATTAAAAAGGATGATAACGAATTTAGGAAATCAAGGACTAACCGAGTGGTAATAACTAAAATGGAAAAAATAAGAATATTGATTCGAACGTTAACTTCTATTTTGGTGAAATTGGAAAGAAAAATTTATCTTTTCTTTATTAATTTCTCTCATTGAATATGCCACAGGGAAAATTGAGTAACATCGAGGAAGAAAGAAAGGTTGACCTTTCTGAACAAATTATGTTTGATTGATGAACTTCTTGCGAATAAATGGGGTAGGTAGTTAAAGTAAATAAGTTCCCACAAAAAAATATTTTCAATGGGTGGGGTTCGAACCCGCATCCCCCTTTTTGTATTAACTAAACATTTTCCAACTTAACCAAAGGGCACAATTTAGCTTGAATGCCCTGGCATTTTAATAGTTTTTTGGGTGTTTATTAGCCTTGATTTTAACCATTTTCGTAAATTCCTTTGTAATTTTAAACATTTTTAGGCAGCAATAATCCGTCTCGGTTTAATGGAAATGATGCGTTTTATTGAATATTTTTATCCAAATACTCGAATCAAAACTTTCTTTGAGTCTTGTGGTATTGCCGATTTGGTGACTACGTGCTATGGAGGAAGGAACCGAAAAGTTTGCGAAGCTTTTGCGAAAACTAAACGAGTATATTTTTTTTAATTTTTTTAAAAATAAATAATTGGGGTTCCTAGTGGTTATTGGAATTTCTTATTGCTAGAGTGGGGCCTTAAGTTGTGTATTTTTCTGGACCTTGATTTTTCCTATATTCAGCAAAAATCGAGATTTATATGGAGGCCATATTAGGGACCTTATGGTCTTCTTATTAGACCTACACACACACAAAAATAGGAACAATCATGGAGGGAAAAGGGAGAGGAAGGTGATGAATACTGGAGAATGGGGAACAGGAAAAGTAAGACTATAGAAAATAAAACTAACATTTAAACAAATGGACTGGATAGGGAAATATGTAGAAGAAGAATAAAAAATTTTTTACAATTTTTGAGTGTAAATTTGGAAAAATTTATTTTTTTAGCCATTGTACGAGTTGGAAGCTGAACTTCTCAAAGGACAAAGCGCTCAAGGCCCGTTGACTGCTGCGGAGCTTTATGATGTTATCAAGACACGGGATTTGCTTAAAATGTTTGTTAATTCTTTAATTTTTAAAATTAATTTATTTTTAAATTTTGGGTGGGATCAAATGTCATTTTTGGAAATTTGTGGATTTTTGAGAAATTTTTTTGGAATTTTCTTTTAAAGGCAGTGCTTTCATTGTGAGCTTAGAAATCTGTAAACGGCAGAAAATTTGTAAAAAAATTTTTTCTAGGCCTCAAAAAAATGTAAAAAAAATTTTTTTAAAGGTTCCCATTATTCGAAGCTGTTCACAATATTTGTATTGGACAAGTGCCTGTTGAGGAATTTATTGGAAAAATTCGAAATCATCCGGAATATGAAGACCGTTCTAATGCTGAATTTCATTAGAGAGATGAAAGGGAGAAGGGTATAATTTAGGAAAAATTTTTTAAAAAATAGTTGAGAAAAGGATAATTTGTTTTGTTTGGTTGTCTACCTCGAGACCTTATATAATATTGAATTTTTATTTAAAATGAAATATAGAATTTATTTAAAAATATATAAAATTGTAAAAAAAAAATAAAATTAATAATTGGATTTTTGGAAGACTTTTTGTTGGAGAAAAAAAATTTTTTTTTGAAAATTTTTTCAATTTTTTTTTTAAAAATTCATAAAAAAAATTTTTTCAAATTCCAAAAAAATTTCTGTATTTTTTTTACTTTATTAGCATTAAAATCTAATATAAAATCCAATTTTAATTTTTTTTTTGAAAATTAAATTAACTTTATTTTGACTTGATTGGTAGAGATAAATACATACTATATATTTTTTTAATTTAATGTGATTTGTATTAAGTACAAAATTTTGATATTTGATAAATTTTATTGCTCATTTATTTTTATTTTTTAAATGTATTAAGATACAAATTTATTAAAAAATTTTTTTTGAGGTATCTAAATATTTTTTAATTTTAAAAAATTTTTTTAGAGTGCCTTAAAGCTTATTTTTGATTTATTCTCGATGCTACTAGTATTTATTAATTGGATTTGGGTATGTGAAGTTCGATGGTTGAGTTGGTAGACATTTAGTCTCCTTTACTGAATGGTCTGGGGTTCGAGTCCAGGTGTGGTCAAACTTTTTATTTTTGTTTATTAAATGCTTGTAAAGTATTTTTAAATAATTTTAAAAATTTTTTGAGGGGTTGTAAATTTTTTTTGAGATCTATTTTTTGCTAAAAAATTTTTTCGTCTCATAATTTTGTCAAATATTTCTTTTCTTCCTCAAAGCAAGTTCTGTGCTCCGAGCTTATGAAGGGGTGACCACTTTTTAGGGTATTTGGTACCGTTGGATAGAGAATTGAATGCACCTTACGATAACAAAAAATTATTATTCTCGACTTAATTATAAAAAAGTTGTGATCAAAAAACAAAAAATTTTTTTCACCAAATGTAATTTTTCGGGACTTTATCTGTCATAACTTTTTTATGAATTAGTTGAAAATTTTGATTTTTTGATATCTTGTAGAGGGTTTAATTCTCTGTCCAATGGTACCAAGAACTTTGAAAATTGATCAACCTTTTAGGAGTTATTGGGGTCGGAACTTATCGAATTTTCTAAATAATGCGATTTTTCGGGACCTTATAAACCTGATCATTTTTTATCGAGCAGTTGAGAATTTTGGGTTTTTTGATATCTTGTAGAGGATTTAATTCTTTATTCCGGAGTTACCAAGAACATTAAAAAATTTTGATCCTCTTATGAGTTATGGAGGTTCAACTGAAGTACACCCTTCTTTTCGCCTTTTTCAAAATTAATCAAAAAATTTTCTTTAAAATTCCCTTCACTTCTTTTTCTATTTTATTTATAAAATCATCATTATTTCTGTCCATTAAAAGCTAGTCTGGTCAGTTTTACCAAAAATATTTTTCATTCACAAAAATTTTCTTGCACACAAAGGTGTGTGTGCCAGCCACCGCGAGAGTGTTTGTGTTGTGTTTACCGAGTTTTTAGTCAAATAAAAATATTTATTTTTCTCTAATTTTATATATCGGTGTTTGTATGTGTGGGGCGCACAGTTCAGTAAAAATAAAAAAAATTTTTTTATTAAATAAGAATGTGAAAATACCATTTAAAAATAAAACTGACCGACTAGAGAAAAGAATAAAATTTCTCTATTCTTTTATCTCTGTCTTGCGCTTTTCTTTTGCGCTTTTTATGACAAATCAAACAACACAACAAAAATATATTTTTTAAATTTTTTACCTTTTTTTGTTTAATTAAAAAAATATTTAACTAAAAAACACTCTTTAATTGTTAAATGTCTCGTTGGTTAAGTTGGTTATGTTGCCAACTTCAACCTATTAAATTAAGGACGGAAGTTCGAATTTTTCATGGGACAATTTTTTTAATTTTGCGTTTTTAATTCAAATAATAATTTTATTGTTTAAATGTCTAGTTGGTTAAGTTGGGTATATTCCTGACTTCACCCCTATAAGGGTCTAGGGTTCGAACCCTTTACACATTGTAAATGACAATAAAATTTTTAAATATTTTTTTGGACCTTGTAAATTTCTTCGAGACTTTTTAAAAGAAAAATTAACAAAAATATATTTGGTACTCTTGTGTTATCTCCCCCGTTTTATTTTTCTTTTCCTTTCTTTTACTTTTTCCATAAAAGGCACACATGAATCTCGTTAAGATACTGTTAAAGAATTATGGCGATAGGTACCTAGCTTTGGTTTTTCAGGACCATTGTCCATTATTGTGCTTGTGTATGGCAACTCTGGATGAATAGGGCCCTCTATTCCCTTAAAATATTCTGGTAATATAGTAAGTGGAGTACTGGTACACATACCAACGTTGAGATTGGATCTCTGATTTCAAAACATGGTTACTCACACATAGATTAAATATGACCCATGTGCATTTTTTGAGAAATAAAAATGAAAGGGGAAGAAAAATAAATGGAGGGGGGGGAGATAACACAAAAGTACCATATATTTTTTAGAAGAATACCCTAATAAATATCTCTCTAGCCAAGTTGGTTGTATCGCTGACCTCATCCCTATAAGGGTCTGGGGTTCGAATCTACCATGGGATATTTGATTTATTTTTTCGAATTAAACATTGTAAAAGCTAGAATAAAAATTTTTAAATTATTTTTGAGCCTTCTAAAATTTTTTCGGAGGCTTTACTTATTTTTTAGAAGAATACCCTAATAACTAAATAGTGGTTAAGTTGGTTGTGCTCATGACTTCTTCCTTATAACACTACATAAAGGTCTAGGGTTCGAATCCACCATGGGATAATCATTATATTCTTTCGAATTAAAGCAATAAACTTTCAAAATAAAAATTTTTCAACATATTTTTGGACCTTCTAAAATTTTTTGGAGGCTTTTAGAATGCAAAAAGTAGCAAAAAATTGCTTTTTTTAGAAGAATACCCTAACAACTTAAGAATTCAATTGTGTATAAATGCATGTACTTATTAAAAAAATATTTTTTTAGTATTTTATTTTATTATTCAATAACAAAAAAACATCCTCCCCCTCCCGCTCATATATTTTTAAAAAAAGAATTGAGTTTTTAAATTCGATTTTCTTTTATTTTTCTCCTCATTTTGACTTATTTTCTCTCTCCTATTTTATTTTTGCTCATAAATTTTATTTGTAAAAAAAAATAAAAATGTTTTTGATATTGTTTGCTTTAAATATTTTCAAAAGGAAAAATAAAATTTTTAGATTAAAATCAAAATTTTTTTATTTTGAAGACCCTTTGATGTGAATCTTCTTTTTGATATTTTCTCTTTAACTTCTTGTCCGAAATTTACCATATTTGGTATTTTGTCTATAATTTTTCTTTGTGGCATTGTGTCCAGAATTTCTCAGTTCTTTTTTGCCAATTTTCTCATTGGCATTTTGTCTATTTTTTCTCATCGTGTCATTTTGTCTAAAATTTCTCTTTATGGCATTTTGTCCAAAATTTCTCTGTTCCATTTTGTCCAAAACTTTTCTGGCTTTTTCAAAAATTTCTCTTTGTTCCTTTTTGTCCCTCTTTTCTCTCATTGGCATTTCGTTAAAAATCTAACTTAAAGACATTTTATCCAAATTTTTCTAGTGGCATTTTTGGACTTTTTTAAATTTATACCCCTAAGTTGATCTTCTGGGTTTATCTATTTTATTAATTAAAAGGTTATTCCTTCATTTATATCACAATTTTGCCTATAAAAAATAATTTTATTAACGATCACAAAAATAAAAATACAGCATGCCAAAAATTATTTTTTTATTTGTGCCATTTTCCCTCTAAAAATAAAATTTTTTTTTATTATTATTTTAGATTCATTACATTTGCTCATTTATTTATTGCTTTTTCTCTCTCCCCTGTGCTTCTCCCATATTCTCCCTTAGTTCCCCCCATATTGCCCACCCAAAAAATATTTTTTTTTATTTTCATATTTTCTGGTAGTAAACCCGTTCTTCTTTTTTTTTCTTCAAGCAAATCACATACACACAAAAGCGGCATTCTTTAATTTATTTTTGATTAATTTATTTATATATTCTTTATTTTCTCTTTCAAACAATGATCTTCCCTTCTTGTCGGAAATAAAGAAACAAAAAAAAAGTTTTTAAGAACAAACAATTTTTATTTAAATTAATTTTTCCTTTCTTCCATTGTCTTCAACTTTTGGGCATTTTACTATAAATATTATTTTTGGACACCCTAAAGATCAACACTCGATAACAAACAATTGATCAACCCGCTAGAACCCCAGCCTTTTAAAATTTATATGCCCATCTGATCATCTCTTCGAAAATCAGTTAATGTTCCCTTCACACTACCCATAGAGCTTAAGGAACAAGAAAGGATTTTCCGAGAAACTTCGACTATTCGGATGTTCCCTTCACGCTACCCATAGTCTCTTCACCCTACCTATAATGCGTAAAGAACATTAATGGATCTCAGAAAAATTCTTATTTTTGAATGTTCCCTTCAGATTACCCATAGTTCGTAGGGAACATGAATTTCCCGAAAAATTTACCGAAAAAACTATTTTTTGGGTGTTCCCTTCACCTTACCCATAGGGCGTATGGAACATTGTGCTTTTTTGTCTGTCGATCTTCTGGAAAATATAATTTATTTTAATTCATTCCCTTACCCAAAAAATTTTTTCTTTTTAATAAAAATTCTTTTTTTTTCAATTGGGTTGAGCTAATAATATTATAAAACTAGCAAAAATAAGTACTTCTCTTTATATTTTATAGAAAGTGATTAATTTATGTGTGCGCACAATTTGCTTGCCCAACAACATAAAACAAAGAGAAAATAAAAGAAAAAGTTTTGATGAGCCTTTAGGCACTGAAAGAATTTTTAGTTGTTTAGAAGAGCTTCTTTCTCTCAAATTTACTCATTCAAAGGGGGAGCTATATACTGTTTTAGAAGGAAAAAAATTTTTTTTAATTGGCTATTTGTGGGGAAGAAAGAGGAGGGTTGGGGGAAAGAAGGGGGTAGGGGAAGAAAGAGGGGTAGGGGAAGAATAGGGAGGAGGGGGGGGGGGGGAGTACAAAGAAAATAAAAAGAAGAAAGGTAAAAATAGAAGAAGGAGGGGTAACCGGTTCCAGAGAGAAAAGCATTTTTATTCTTAAAAAAAATTTTTTTGAATGAGAATGATTTTCGTCAATGATACTATTCTTTCTACCACACTTGCGCGAAGAGAGGTAAAAGCACAAGGACCTAAAAAAGTTTTTTTTCGAAAAATTTCCATTTCTCGACGACCTTTTCATGTTCCTATGCACTATGGGTAATGCGAAGGGAACATCCGAAAAATGAAAGTTTTTTTGGAAAATCCTTTCATGCTCCTTACGGACTCTGGATAGTGTAGAGGGAACATCCGAAGAATGAAAGTTTCGGAAATTTTATTCCTGTTCCTTTCGCTCTATGAGTAATTGGAAGAGAACACCCGAAAATTTGTTTTTCGGAAAATATCCATGTTCCTTACGCTCTATGGGTAGTGTGAAGGGAACATCTGAAAAAATAATATTTTCGAGAAATTTATGTTCCCTAAGCACTATGAGTAGTGTGAAGGGAACATATTGAAAAATGAGGAAATTTTTGTATTGTTTTGGTGAAAAGATATGTCGATTTATATATAAATTTTCTTTATTTACCCTTCCTTTTTCGGTTTTCTTCAAAAAAGCTATAATCTTTTTTCTTATCTTTTTTCTTAATAAATCTTTAAATATTTTATTTTTCGGTATGTTTCTTGATGTTTTGACCTAAATTCCAATAGAGAAAAATATTGAGAGAGTTATTCAATGAAATATTTTAGAAATTATTTGACTATTTTGATTTTATTAAATTTCTCATTTATAGTCTAAAATTGTGCTCCTTATGCTCCATGGGTAGTGCGAAGGGAACATTCCTAAAGCTTCATAGATAGTGTAGAAGGAAACATGTTCCTTAAGCTCCATGAATAGTTTGTAGGGGACATGTTTCACATGTTCCACGAGTAGTGTGAAGGGAACATGTTCTTTACGCTCCACGGTTATTGTTCCTTATGCTCCATGAATAGTCTGTAGGGGCTTTCGTTCCATGGTTAAGGTAAAGGTCCTTACGTTTCATAGGTCTTGTGAAAGGTTCCTCATGCTTCTAGGTAGTCTGTAAGGAACATGTTCGATATACTCCATGGGTAGTGCGAACTACACTCAGTGAGTATGTCCTACTTACTCCATGACATTATGAAATTTCTGACCATCTTTCCTTTTGACATTTTGAATTCTTAAATAATTCATCTGTGTTTAATCTTGTATTAAAAGCCCCCTTCTCCCCCTCCTCTACCTTTTCTTCTATTTTACCTTTTTTAATATTTTTATTTTTAGTCTAAAAAGCCCTCAAATTCTTTATACAAACATTCTTATAACTACAAAAATTTTTTTCTTTTCAATCACTTTCCCCCCGCCACTTGAATTGTTTGTTGGGCCAATTTTTGTTTAGGTCAACACAACACAAACATATGACTGTCCACAACAACCAGCCTTTCTTGAGAAAGGATTAACTCTTTTTTCTTTTTTCTTTTTTCCGCGCTCTCGAACTGTCTTCCCCCTCAATTCCTTTACACACACGATTGTCCATTCCTTTTTATTTTTTAAAAATTTATTTTTAGACGGGGCAAGGCCCAGAAGATCGACTTCTAATAACCCAACAGATCACCACAAAGTGGTCATTTAATGGTAAAAAGCTCCTGATTCCTAAAGTTATACTCGTACAATAAATTGGGACTAGATGCATGTTCCTTATGCACTATGGGTAGTGTGAAGGGAACATGTTCCCTATGCTCTATAAGTATTTTTAGAGAAGAAATTTCATCAAGACGGAATATCGTCAAGATTAGGCCTCTATGTTATCAATCACCTTTCGAAATGTCCAGCGTCAAAATGTCCTATTTTCAAAACGTCCATTTTAAAAAGACGAAATGTCTGTCAACGAAATTTTCAGTGGCGAAAGCCTAATTTCGAAATGTCCATTTCGAGATTCCAATTTTCACAATGCTCAGTGGCGTAATGCCCATTTTCTAAATATCCAATGTCTCGAAATGTCCAACGTCGAAACGTCCAATTTTCAAAATGTCCACCCTATTTCTTTGTTGACATTTTAGATTTTAAAAATTTTTTCAAAATCAGATGGCCTTGACCTGATCCCGCGCCTCTCTCCATCTCCTTCCATCTTTTTTTCCATTTTTATTTTCAAATATATACCTCTTTTCGTTTACGACACGATCTTTCCTTTCCAGCCTCTCTCTCTCTCAAAAATAAACTAAAAACACAACACAATTCCCCCTTTATTTTTTTCACATTTTTGCATCGATCGCTCTTTTTGGTTCTTCCTTTTTTTAAAAAATTTTTGCGAATAAAGACGACACACAACTTTTTAAAAAATTTTTTTAAAAAAGTTGACCATGAAGACCTACAGAAATTTTGATCTATCTCTTTCAATCCCTCGATATTCTTTTTCAAACTTCAGTCGATATCTCCTTAGTCCTTCCACATTTCTCGAAATTTCCCTTAAGGAGTTAATAATTGTTTTAATAAAATTTAGTCAACCTCGCTTGTGTCCCATTTGATAGTGTTCTAGGCTTTATAGTAAGGCTGGAAATTAGGGTCGAAAGTTCGAATTCGTTCGATACCCATTATTTTTATTTTTCAACTTTTTTGATTAAAAACCTGACTTTTACATGTTCTGTGTGATTTACTAGAGTTTTGTGTAGCAGTGGTTGTATTCCAGGCTTTACAGGAAGCTTTAAAGATAGGTTGAAGGTTCGAATCCGCTCGGTGCCCGATATTTTTCTTTTTAAATTTTCTGATTGAAAATCGACTTTCACATGTTTTTCATCCTAAAAATTTTTTAGAAAATTTTTCAACTTTTTCCGCACGCTTTCCGCGCGGATGGAAAGTCAGCAACACCACCACCAAAAAATTATTAAAAAAGAAATTGTTGAGAACGAAAATCAGCAGCCTTCTTTAATGGAAGGTAGACAAAAACAGACTTCGAATACTTCATCACCAACATATTCACAACAACAACAAGCATTTTTTCAGTCTAATGGGGGAGGGTTTGTAGTTCAACAACCTCAACAACAACAAGCAGAAACAATGCAGGCGTTTGCTAATCTTGGTAGAGATTTAGAAAATAGTGTGTAAAAATGAGAGAGACAAGAATGAAAATTTGGGAGAAAATTAGTGGAAATTAAGAGAAAAATAGGGGGGATTACTGTAAAATGGATGAGAGACGTCATTTTTATTTTTTTGTTTTGTTTCACCAATTAAGTAATGACTTGGAAAAATATTTTTTTAAGCTGGGTGACTTTTAATTGAATTAATTAAAAGTGGTTAGGTTGCATTGTGGCCAAGTGGGTAGTGTTCTAAGCTGTAGGTGAGTGATCTATTAGGGGTGGGTTCAAAGACGCCTGAAGCCGGGTGTTTTTATTTTTACGTTTTTTGATTAAAAACAAGGTAAAACAAGGTTTATGGAGCAGTGGGTAGTGTTCTAGGCTACATAGGAATAGCATAAAATTTGGTCGAAGGTTCGAATCCGCTCGTTGCCTGATATTTTTCTTTTTCAATTTTTTGATTGAAAACAAACTTCTACTATCTCTAAATCATTTTTAAAAAATTTTTGAGCCTTTTTTCACCTTCCTCAAATCAATTTTCCCCTCACTTTCAGGCCTTTTTTGTCACCCTAATGCTCAGCAACAATTTACATCGATGCCTTCAGCCCCCACTGGTTCTATGCCCCCACATTTGGCAGCCTCCATAGCTGCAGGATATGGTCAACGCTTAATGGGTGGTGGGCATATATTACATCCCCAATCTCAACAAAATGGCAGTTCAACACATAGGGTGAGTTTTGATACAATGCTCTAATGTCGGTTCACTCTCGGGGTCATATTTTGGGCCATAACTTTTTTGATTCTCAGCCGATTTAGATGAGCATTATATCAATTTATAGCTATTGGTGTGAGGATTATTTTACCTGACAGGATTGATGTGATCAGATCAACCTACAAAAAGTTACAGCTAAATAAATATCAAAAATCACGATTGCGCGCACTTACCCAAATGTAACTTTTTGTAGGATGCTCTGATAAAATCAACCCTATTAGACAAAATAATCCTTAAATCCAGAGCTTTCTCTTGAAACAATAATCATCTAAATCGGTTAAGTATGAAAAAAGTTATGGCCTAAAATATGGCCTCAAGACCTCAACCTCGAGTTACTCTACTCTTACCCCAGACTCTAATATCTCCCATTTTTTCAGAACGGATATTCAAGTCATTTGGCATCCTCATCTTCCTCTTCACACCCATCAGGCCCTTCATCTTCCATTACTTCCACTTCTTCAATTAATCGTTCTCAACGTTGTGGTGTTTGTAGGGGGTGTCAGTGCAAACCCTGTGGGCAATGTACTTATTGTCAGGATAGCCCTCAATTTGGTGGCCCTGGAGTAAAGAAACAATCGTGTGTTGAAAGAAGGTGTTTACGTGTGTTGGAGAATAGACTACAGGTGAACAAGAAAAATTTTTTTAGAAAATAAGTACAGTCAGACCTTATGAGACCCTCTTGGGGCGGGCTGAAAAGGGGCCTTATAACGAGTGTTTCTTAAATAGAGAGTGTACCTTATAATGGAAATGTTATATAGAGGATTCTCCCCTTTTTCTTACTCAATTTGCTATCAGTCTAATTCTTATCCGTTCCTTCTCTTTAAATTTTTTTCTACGTATCAGTAGGTGCCAGCCACCCAATGTCACAAAGTGGAGTGATCAAAATAAAGGAAACAGGGAGCAAACTAATTGACCAGCCCTCATAAAATAGGCTAAAACTGTTTAAAATTAGGAACGAAAATGGGAAGATTAATTGATCAAATAATAGATATTTTGAAAAATCTCTTCAGAAAAATGTCAAAATCTCTAAATTACAAAATGCCCAATAGTGGAATTTTTCTCATTTTGTCACAAAATTTTTAGAGAGACGCCCCAACCTTCAAAGCAAGAATCGGCTGTAATGCTTGTGAAGATTGTCGAGGCCCCGATTGTAGAATATGCCTCGTTTGCTTGGATAGACGCTTTTTTAATTCCAAATATATGGCTGGGGCTCTATGCGCGAAGAAGAGATGTAATAATGCCACTGCCCTGGAATTGCCTATTTCTATTGAGCATCAACAAAGAACTGTGAGAGTTTACCGTTTGGGGTTACGAAATTTATGCTCTTACTATTTTGAAATTGACCATTTTTAAAAATTTACCATTTTGACATTGACCGTTTTGAAAGTTACCATTTAGACATTGACCGTTTTGGAATCCTTGCATTTTTTATATTTACCATTTTGAAACTTGACTTTTTTGTTTTACCATTTTGATACCCCTACATTTTAATTTTACCCTTTTTTAATTTCAGTCCTTAAAACGCTCTTCTGATGGCTCCAACAACGGCAACTTTACTTCCCACCAACAAGCTAAACGTCAAGTTTTGCTACCCCCAGGAAACAACAACTCTAATGGAGCCCATAATCAAGTAAATTCGAATATAGCACGAATATTGAGTGCTGCGGGCGAACAACAACAACAAAGTCAAAAACATAATAATTGTGGAACGGCCACCTACGAGAGGAATTCGGGAGGGAATAATACGTAAATTTAGCGATTTTTAATTTTTGGCATTTTGAGTTTTTACCATTTTGACATTTTACCATTTTGACATTCGCAATGTTTAAAATATGAAAAGTTGTAAAACGGTCAGATTAAAAATGCCCAATTCCAAAATGTCTAAGTTCAAAATGTTCAAAGTTCAAAATGGTAAAAAAGCTTAAAAATGTCATAATGTAAAAACTCCTAACGATAAACCAGAAAATTCATTCCTAACAGTTCAAACACCAATTCTCCTTTGAGCGACAACAGTAGCAACAGTAACAATGCCACAATCCATCTAACAACAACCCCACCTTCATTAATGTCTCAACAGCAACAACAACGTTCTTTCTGGCCTTCAAATCCCCAACAAATGCTGGGTGTATTACCCCCAAATCATTACCACCATTTCGATCAAATATCACTTGCTGCTGTAGCTGCTGGTTTCCCTCAACAGCAGGTAAATTTTTAAATTTCAAAACGTCAAAAATGTAGAACGGTCAAATTGCAAATCGGTTTGAACCAAAAATGTCAAAGTTTCAAAATGGTCAAACCCTAAATGTTAATTTTTGGACCTGAACATTTTTGGTTTTACGTTTTGGACGTTGACAATTTTTGGTTCTGACCATTTTGCAATTTTGACATTTATAAAAAAGATCTCCAAAAATTTTTTTAAACATTTTCAGGTCCCTCAGTACGTGAACCAGTACCCAACAAAATTTATATGTCCAAAATACGAGTGTTATTCACCCGAGGACGCGACTATAACGGTGAGGGAAAAGCCAAAGAGTGTCGAAAATTAATAAAAATCTTTTAAGATGTCCAATGGTTCTGATCAAATGAGAGTTGTAGCTATTCCCCAGCAACAACAACAACAAAATTCACAACAGATTGGAGACCAAGCAGCAGAAAATTTGTTGGTTCCCCCCTCGTATTCTGACGTGCAAAAAGTTGTTTTGCAGCCACTTTAAAGGGGACAAAAAATTTTTTGGTCCGCTCAGAAGGTCGCCATCCAGAAGACCTCGGTCTACTCCCAAAAGGTAAATTACCCTAAAGGTCAATTCCAAATATTTGGACAGATAACGGGGACGCAAGATCAAGAATACTTTGGCCTATTCTTTTTTGCCTTATCTGGCAGTTGCACAAGATAATTTCCCAATCTGAATACATCGATATTCCCATAAAGCTGCACAAATCCCAAATAGTTGAATTGACCTTTGGGTAATTTGACCTTTTGGAGTATCTATAGGGTCTTTTGATAAATAGGACGTTTCAATTGAATGTTGACTTTTTGGGTGGATTCTATTTTTTCTAAAAATTCATTTTTTTTTCAAATTCGTGCCTTTCCCTATTTAAAAAACAAAAAAGTTTGTGTCTTTCATACTCTTAATTTTATTTTTTATTTTCCTCACTTAATAACTTTTATGGCCACTCAAAATTAATTTAAAATTTAATTAATTCTCTTAATTTTTTATATAAATACTTATATATCACTAAACTGCCATTGTGATACTCTTAATAAAATTTAAAAAATAAAATTTCGTTTTTATATTCTTCACAAATCCGTAAAAACATTTTAATATGAAAAACAAAATAATTTACCGCCATTGGGACTCGAACCTTGAACCTTTTTATTAGTAAAAATCTCATCTTTTCCCACTACACCACAGCAGTTTATCTTTGCGCATTAAAACTTTTCAAGAAAATAAATACATAGCAGAATTTCTACTCTTCCATACAGTCTCCGTGGTGTAGCGGAAAATAGACAATTTCAGCCCTTATGAGACGAAGGTTCGAACACATGAGAAAAAATTATTTTTGCACAATTTTTATAATTTAAAATGAATTTCAAAGAGTTTGTCTCTACTCCTTTCACCATAGCTCTTTTGGTGTGGTGGGATAAGCGTTTGTTTTTTAGTGTTCATAGGTCCAAGGTGGAAACAATTTTTATTTACATTTCCTTAAATTTAACTTCTTTCCCCAAGGTAATTTTGGTGTAGTGGGAAAACCGAATTTCTACAGCCTCTATAAGTCCAAGGTTCGAACCCCACATGGGGAAACAATTTTTATTTGTCATTTTTAATCCTTAAAAAGAGAGGGGATGTCTTTCTCTATACCTGACAAATCCACCACCCTCCAAATAGAATTATCGACATCTTCTGGAGCAATTCTTTTATTGCTTCTGTCAATAATTTCTCTCTTTAATTTTGCAAAGGGTTTACTTCTTTGTTTTGATTTTTGAGCAATCATATTATCTATAAAATCTGGTGTGTGATCCAAAACGGCATCCAAAACTAGTTTATCTATTTGTTGTGAATTTGTAATGCGCCAAAGATTGCGATTTTCTATCAGCTGGAAAATTAGAAAAAATGGAAATTTTGACGAAAATATAGTAAAAAAGTGGGGTAAATAAAGTTTCTTCCTCTGACCTAATGTGAGTTATTGTTTGGTGCCTTTTGCTTCCCACGTACCAGAGAATTCAGAGTTCCTACAGTTCAAGTCAGGTTTCCGGTACCGTGGTAATTTTCGACCGACCTCAGCCGAGCGCGCAAAGGTGTCCTACTGACTGACTGAGATACTCCAGCGCTGCTACTTTCATCATCTCACCTAATAGATCTTAAACCCTCTCCTAGTGCTAGTTGACTGGATTGACCTTCCCTACAATATCTAGAATTTTTGTGGATTTTGTGGTGTAGTGGGAAAATCTAATGATTTTACCTCTGAAAGGACGAAGGTTCGAACCTCACTTTAAAAATCTGACCCTTTTGGACACTTTTGCCCAGAATTAGCTAATATGGACACCAATGACCCTTTTGGACATTTTTCCTTAAAATATTAAAATTAAAAAACCTCTTTAATTTCCTCTCCAAGTTGATTGTAATCATTGTCTTCCTCTCCCTCCCCAGCCTCTGCAAATTCTCTCATTAAATCAATTGCAATTAAATTAGTCAGCTTTCCCGAATAAGTCAAATGAACTATTTGAGCAAAACAATGAAGAAGTTTAATACTAAAATTAAATTTTTAAAGATAAATTTTTTGAAAGTTTGGGAGTAATTGAAGAGAAAATCCGCAAGTTTAAAAAAATCCGCAAGTTATGTCCGCAAATTTTTTTCAATTTTGCGCTATTCATTTTGAGTCTATGAGGAGAGTATTGATTAAAGTACTCGAAACTAGTGTTCGGCATTTGCGATTTTTCGAGATCGAGATTATTGAAAAATCTCGATATCGAAAAAATCTCGATTTTTCCAAAATTGATCGAGACGAGATCGAGATCGATAATCTCGAAAAAAATCTCGCGATATCTCGAAAAATATCGTCGATATATCTCTCGTGACGAACACTACTCGAAACAGAAGAGAAAAGAATGATTAAGAGAGATATACCAAGAGAGAAGTCCGCAAGTTCAAAGTCCGCAAATTTTGTCCGCAAATCGAAAAATGGTTTCTATTTAAAAAAGAAAAGCATAGAAGTTTAGCGGAAGTTTGGAAAAGTTTAGCCTATTCCAAACACCTTTCTGTCAATTATTTTAAAAAATTTTCTCTATTAAAAATAAAGAAAAACAAACTTTGTAGGAGGAAAATAATTAGTTTCATTAATATATATTTTTTCACATAAATATCTTAATTCGTCTAACCATTTTTTAAAGTGTTTAAATGGAACCTAAAAATACTTAAATAAAACTTAAAATGAAAAAAAAACAAACTGGAGGTCCAATACTAAGATAAATTTGAATTAATTTTTCCAATTTTTTGCAATTCTAAAAAAATTAAAAAAAATTTTTTTAATTCAAAAATAATTTAAAAAACCAAAATTTCCATTGTAAAATTTGGAGGGAATTTATATTTTTCAATTAAATCCAAATATGGGAAATCCAACAAAATTGATTCTTTTGCCTCTTTCAACATTTTTGATTCAATTTTTAAGGGTGGAATGTTTGGTTCTGGAATGAAACGATAATCCAATTCTGAGCCTTTTGAACGAGCAGAAAATGTTCTTCTGGAAAATATATTAAAAATTATTTTTGAAATTAAAAAAAAATTAAAAATAGGCCAAAATAAAATTATTTCCCACAAAAGGACTCGAACCTTCATATGATTTGGGGGTGTAGTCACCATCACTATCCAGTTGACCACAAACATCGGAATATCAGGACTGTTTTAGTCACATTTTGTTCCATAACTTTTTTCATTCTTGACCGATTTAAATAATTATTATATCAATCGAAAGCTCTGGATGTGTAGATGATGTCTAACGAAATTGATTTGATCAGATCGACCTACAAAAAGTTAAAGAAGAATAAGTGCACGCAGTAGTGATTTTTGAACTTTATTAGGCTGTAACTGATCAAATCGATCCTGTTAGACAAAATAATCTACACATCCAGGGCTTTAGATTGGTAAATACACATTTAAATCGGTTAAGTATCAAAAAAGTTATGGCCCAAAATATGACCCGGGTCTAAAACGGTCATATGACCCAGAACCTTCCCCAAATTTCTCCCGGCAAAAATATTTGGAATTCACGGAAAGGGAAGGAAAAACACTCTCTAAGACACTATTCTATCTTATCAATTTATCACCAAAATCAAACCCTTGTTCATCAACAGCTCTAGTCTCTTCTTCAATTAATTCTCCATTTTTCACCATTCCAAGTTGCCTTTTAATTTCATTATTTAAAGCAGAATACATATAGCCAATTCCACTCAAATTTTTTAGTTCAACTTTGGATCCTTTTTCACCATTTTTGGAAACTGAAACATTTGCATCCACTCTTAAATTGCCTTCTAAAAATGGAAAAAATATTTTTTAAATGAGTAATAAATTAAAAAAATCCAAGGGGAAATTCAAGGGAGTAAAAAAATTAATTTAAAATTTTTTAAAGGTTGGCCCTTTGAAAAACAGAAAAAATGAAACTTAAATATTTCCTCAAGGCCCTACGACTAATAGGAATCGAACCCTCACCTTCCACCCCCAAAACTAAACTACCTACCAACTTAACCACACCACAAAAAAATTATTTGAAAATTTTTTAAAGGATTAAACACTTTGATGACAGAGACAGAAAAAAATTGAACCTTAAAAAAGCAAAACTAAACCATTCCCCAAGGCATGCAACGAGTAGGAAATCTACGAGCCTTACCCCTCAAAATGTAACAAACTACCAACAAGGGCACACCACTTAAAAAAAATTTTTTAAGAAGAATTGTAGAAGGTTGAACTTCTTAAGGGCCGAAAAAACAAAAATCGAGCCTCCCTGACTGCTCAACCACCACTAGGATTCGAACCCTTAACCTTTCACCCCAAAGACCAAACCACTACCAGCTAGGCTACACCCACCATTAAACACCTACAATAAATTAATCCCAATATTCTAAAAGAAAAAAACCATGAAATTGTCCCAAGCAAATTCCATTATGAGAAAGCGCCATTTTAAGCTGTTCAACAAAGCAAATAACCTCATTTGTGTTGGAAAAATCTGGAGCTGTCACAATTTCAATTAAAGCAATCCCCGCTCTATTTAAATCAATCAAATCCAAATTTCCATGTCTTATAGATTTTCCACTGTCCATTTCTAATTGAATTTGTTCTATTCCAACAGATTTTTGGTAATAAACCGAGTCGTCTTCTTCATCCGAATTTACATAAAAATTAAAATAACCATTTTTGGCTATTGGATTAGCTTTTTGAGTGATTTGGTAGCCTTAAAAAAATTTTTTTCTTAAATTTGCGGACAAAAAAAAGTCCGCAAGTAAAGATTTGTAGAAAAAAAAAGTCCGCAAAATAATTTGCAGACAAAAAAAAAGTCCGCAAGTTAAGATTTGCGGACAAAAAAAAGTCCGCAAAAAACTTGCGGACAAAAAAAAAGTCCGCAAGTTAAGATTTGCGGACAAAAAAAAAGTCCGCAAAAATATTTGCGGACAAAAAAGTCCGCAAGTAAAAATTTGCAGACAAAAATAGTCCGCAAGTTTTAAATTTGTTAATTTTGAGCCCATAAAACTCATTATTCCTTTCTTCCTCCTTCCCTTAGATGTAATTCGCCATTGAAAAAATTAACACTTATTTGCGGACAAAACTTGCGGACATTGACAAATCAAAGAAAAAACCCCTTTTAACTTTTAAAACAAACCTAAAGGCAAGTCTGGATAGAGGTAATGTTTTCTGTCAAATCTGAAAATGAAAGGAATAATCCAGCAAATATTTAAAATTAAAAAAAAACCTGCAAAAATCGGCAACTTGACAATTTAAGAGAACGGCTGCCAAAAGGGATTTCTTTTAAAAATATTTAAAAAACTTAGATACTCAATAAAGTAAAAGATATACATGAATACAAGAACTGTTCAAACGAGGAAGTGTGCCAGGTATTGCTGAATCCTAAATACAAAAAGAAATTTAAATGGGTTTAGTCAGTGTATTGGAAAGGGTTGTCAAGGAGTAACCGAAACGCAAACCATTTTTCGACCGATACTCGATCCGAAAAATTTTCCAAAACTAGACCTGACTTGCCCCCCCCCCCCAACCAGACCCAAAACCCCTCGACGATAGACATAAGCTTTTTTCAACTCGATCTGAAGAAAATTTCGAAGAGCCCCGAAAATTCAAAAAACCTTACAAAAATGGAAACATGGCAGTTAGACTCCACAGAGGCGTTGTGTGCCGACGAACTCGCAGAAAAAAGTTTGGTATTTGAAGCGATTTGTGCATGCAACTAAAAAAATAGTACATATTTTTCAGTTACCCAAACCGGTTCTTCGGACATTTTTATGCGGACTCACAAAGGTTAAATACAAAAAAGACTCATATGGGTCAGACACCACTTCCTCAAATACACTGAATAAATAAATGGGAAGTATGGATGCTCTGACCATTATGAGACCAAAATGCTCTGACCATTTTAAACCAGTATGAATGAGTCCGCATACGTATGTCCGCAAAAACTGGGATTGGGATAACCCACAAGCATCCAGATACTCAATAACAATAAAATTTAAAAAAGAAACCTCAAGGCCAATAATCGGTTGAAATTGGGGAGAAAAATGTTTTTCTGCTTGTTGAGACTGGGTAGAATAAAAACATTTCAAATTTACTCGTCCAAAACAAAGTGAAAAAGTAGAAGCATAATTTTTACAAGAATGCGGAACATTAAATCGAAGCATTAAATAAATTCAAAAAAATTTTTATAAAAATTTTAAGGGACTAAATAAATTTAAAAAAAAATTAAAAACGCTATTAAAGCGTGTGATATAGCCAAAAAATATTTTTTAATTTTTTTATTCAAAATTTTTAAAAAAATTGAAATGTTTAGGCACTTTAGTAAAGCCCGTAAAACTCCCTGAAACTATCCGCAATTTTTAATACGCAAGAATTTTTTTTCAAAAGGGCTTATTTTGTGAGCATGCCACTTCCTAATTTAATTAAAATCATCGTAAAAATTAAAATAAGCTTTTTGACCATTTTGAACCTTTCTGCAAAAAATTTTTAATTTGCGGACAGAAAACTTGCGGACCTTTTGGGGACATAAAAAACTATTTCCCTCTTCATATTTAGCATTTTATAAAAAAAAAGAGAAAAATAAAAGGATTTTTGTGTCTAATATACAAAATAATTTTTTCTGGGGGTTCAAATTTTTAAAATTACATATCACAATTAACCGTTTTTTGTGTTTTCTTTAATTTTACAAAAGAAAATCAATTTAAACCAGGGTCACTTTTGATCAGATTTGACAACATTTGTAGGATTGTTTGATGAGTTGAAAGGGATATCAATTGACTTGAAAAAATTTTTTACGAAGGTGAAGATATCTGAAATGTCCCCTTAACTATATGTAGTGCGAAGGGAACATTGATTTAACTTTGTTGTGCTCTTCACATTATATGTAGTGCGAAGAGAACATAACTATAATATGTTACTTATGTTCCCTTCACTCTACATGTAGTGTGAAGGGAACATGGATTTAACGTTGATGTTCCCTTCACTCTACATGTAATGTAAAGAGAACATAGACTTTATCCCCTATAATGTCCTCTTCACTCTATATATAGTGTGAAAGGAACATAGTCCTTCACACTATATCCAATGTGAAGGAGATCTGGATTAACTTCAATGTTCCCTTCACTCTACATGTAGTTTGAAGGGAACATAGCTATAATATGGCCCTTCACACTAGATGTAGTGTGAAGAGACCCTAGATTTAACCTTAATGTACCTTTCACACTACTTGTAGTGTGAAGAGAACAAGCGTCTAGTGTTCCCTTTACTCTACATGTAGTGTGAAGGGAACATAGTAATAATATGGCCCTACACACTACATATAGAGTAAAAAAACCAAGATAAATCCAATGTTCCATTCACTCAACATGTAGTGTGAAGGGAACAAACTTTCTCATGTTCCCTTCACCCTATCTATAAAATGGAAAGAACCTTTAATCTCAAAACTCAACGAAAAAACTTACATAAAATAAACCTTCTGATGAAAGAAAAATCACATTTGATGACTTTGAAGTTTTAGCCTTATTTCCCTCCAAAATTTCATCATTTCCACACAAAATTCCTGAATTAATTGAAATTAATCTTCCATCATCCACCTCGAAAGCAGATATTCTTGGACCATTTTGCATTGACCAAACTTCAAGTAAACCTCTACGAGGGACATAAATGATGAGGAAAAGAGCTTTGGAGGAGCTAGATGTTTGATGAGGATTAGAAGAAGAACATTTTTGTTGTTTTTCTATCCAACCACAACGAGCTTGGCGATAACTAAGAAAAAAGACTAGTTTTTATTTGATAATAATGGAACGTGAAACGTGATAATGGAAATGCCAAAAATCACAAAATCCTACCCCAGAGTGTTTCGCATTTAGTGCTTTTAGGGAATTGGCATCCTTACCCAGTGGGCTTCTAAAAAATCACTTAAATTTGAAAGAAATCTTATAGGGAGGCAAGAACGTAGCTAGGGGTTCGATTTCAGTGAGGGGGGGCTAAAATGGGGTGTGCGTCAAAATTTTGGCATTTACTTTGGCATTCCGAATGCAAATTTTTTACATATATTTTTTTCCAGCGCTTGGGTTGTCGGTGTAAAAAATTCATCTTTATGATCATTTTCCTCCTAAAATTTTTTCACTTTCCCATTTTAGGGGGGGGGGGGGCTATAGCCCCACCCTCATGGCTACGCTTTTATAGAGAAACCTGTCCTAATCTTAAAAAAAATTTAAAAAATCTCCAAACCCTTTCCAAATCCTCAAAATTCTTCTCATTTTTGTATTTATTAGCAAAATTCTTCCAATATTATCAACTATAACCATTAAATTCCACCCATTTGGAGCAACAAAAGTTCGTTCAGATTTCCTTTTTCCATCTTTTAAAAAACTTTTTGAATAAATTTGGGTTGTAGGTGAATCAGAAAGTTGCTGTTTTTGTCGTGGTTGGTCAATACGTGATGTGCCTACACCCAAAAATGAACGGAAACCAAATGATGGAATGTTGCTAGAAATCTTTAAATAAATTTTTTAATGTGTAAAAAGTTTTTAAAAACATGTTTCATGACCAGGGCTGCACGCAATTCCTGATTGCGAGTTGCGGATTCCGTTTGCGAATTTTTAAAAAAATTTGCGAGTTGCGGAGTCTTTTATTCAATTGCATGCAGATCTGTTCATGACCCCATTTTAAAATAAAATAAAAGTTGGGAAATGGGAAAGCGTTTGCCCTCTATGTTTTAATCGAAAATGGGTCGGGTTGAAAAAACGTCGAGGGGGGGGGGGGGTTTGTGTCGAGTTACCAAATTTCGGACCAGGTCTCGGGGTCAAAAAAAGTCCAAGTTCTAACTCCTTGAATCTAGTTCAATAATAAATCATGTGCCAAAGTAAGGATATATCTAGGGATCTGATTTCGAGGGTGTCATGAGTCTAAAAGTAATCCGGAATCTAAAAAAGATAACCAAGGAGCAACAACAAAATTAAAAAAAAACCCCACAATTTCCAAAAATTATTTTAAAAAATTCTCAACCAAACCTCCCCCCCTCTCCTCCCCGAAACCTAGTTAGATAAAAAAATATCTTTAAAAAAATTTTCAAAACCTTTGATGTCAACGAAAACAAAGCATCAGTTAAAGTTCCAGGCAAAGGTTGTGTACTTCTCCAAACAAAATTTACAAATTCTCTTTGTCTTTTACTTGAAGAATCATAACCCGACGCTTCTTCTTCTCCTTTTCCTCTTGAACCAACAGTGCAAATATATTGAAGATATGAAGGGGATTGTTCACGTGTTACTGGCTCCTTTAAAAAATAAAATTTTTGACTCTAATCTAGTTCAAGAGTTCAATAAAAAACAGTCTAATATGTACGAAGTCTTGTATACTTAAAAACCTCAAAACCCCCCAAGTTTACAAAAAATGCCCCCAAAAATCTTAACCCTCCATTAGACTCATAAACTAGTCCAAAGCCAAAAAATAATTGACCCATAAAGGCCTCTCATAAACCTCTAAAATCCATAAAAATGCCCTGCCCTCCTAAAGGACCAAAAAAAATTTATTGGTCTCTAGAAAGAAGACTCATAAACTAGACCAACCCCACTATTTTTAAAATTCAAAAAATCCCACAAACCGAACGTCCACCAGCCATAAAAGCACCAATGTATTGATCAAAAGCACAAACTTGAGTTATTCCCGTAGACAAAACATCGTTTACCCCGTTAATATTGTACAAATTAAATTGTTGAGCATTTAATTGTAAAACTGACGATAATTCTTTTGCTGTTCTTTCACCAGTAGAAATATATACACAAGCTGCTCTAAGGGCTACACATAAAGATAAACCTTCTATTGCTATTAGTCTTGAATCGGCGGTTAATAAAACAAGTTCTAAAAAATACTTAATTTTAATAGGAAAATCCCCTAATTTAATAAACAATTCCCTTATCAAGAAAATAAAAATTATAATGATATCCTAGAGCCCCACTTAATTCTTATAATTAACTAAAAATGATTTAAAAAATCTAAAAAAAAAGTCCAAAATCAAAAACGCCTCAAACCCTAACACCCACGTGCCGAAGCCACCAACACTACCACTAAATCACAATGACAAACGCATACTCCCAGCATTCATTTCTTAATATCTCCAGAGAAAATTTAAAAAATAGAAAACCTAAAAGAGGCCTCGAACCCCAGTGACTAAAATTGCACTCCACAACAGAATTACTACACCACATCTTTAACCTGTACACACCTCCAACTTCTTCCCCAACTAATCCATTTAAATTGAAAACCTTGATTTCCAGGACAAAAAGACGGGCATAATTTGACCGCCACAATGGAAGTAGACGCACACTTTTCAGTAAACAACAGCTTTCCTTCTTGTGAATAAAACAACAAATTGCCATTGCTTAAACACTAAAATTGAAAAAAAAATTTTTTGAAAACATTTAAAAAAAATTAGGCACTTTTTGGTCACCTCCTCCTTTCCATTTTACTTTCTCTTCTTTTCTCTTTAAAAAATGGTCAAAATAATGCTTAAAAAGATAAACAGCACGTGAGAGGCGCCATTAATATAAATGACCTATGGACCAAATCCTTGTCCTTTTCTTAAAAGGAGAGGACGTAAAAGGAGAGGAAGTCTCAAATGGAATTTTATAGAAAAAAAAGAAGGTAGGGTTTAGGGGACGTAAACTACACAAGTCCCCATAACTGGACTAGTTGGGCAACTTTCGGATTTTTGGGTTCCTGGCTAAATGTAAAAGCTAGTAAGTCACGAGATAGACCCGTAGTCTGACCATTATTTGTCTTTGACCAATTTAAAGGAGAAAAGCAGAAATGAGAAAAGCAAAAAATGAGGGGGGGTACCCCAAAAATTAACAAAAAAAAATAAAAAAAAAACCACGCAAATACACGTCCAATCATCTTCAGAGCTCCTCGAAGAGTTTAACGAGGAAATTCCAAAAGCATTTAAGGCACTAATATAAACAAAATCTTCTTTAGTGGCATCCACTCGAGTTGAAATTTCCATTGTTTTTGACTCCGAATTTTCCAAAATTACAAATCTTTGGGCAGAGGCAATTACTACAATTGATAAATTTGGCCTAGCAACGATTAAAGTGTGACGAAGCCATTTGGTTTGTTGGACTTGTTGGGAGGTGTCAGAGTCGTCACTCTTAAAAATTTTTTAGAAAAATTATTCAGACTTGAGTGGATTGAAAAATTGTTCGTTATAATGAGAGACAGCTCCCCAGACCCGACGGAGGAGGGATTTTACGGGGAGAGACTGCTGTCCGACTATGTTTAAAAAATAAATGGAGGGTAGCAAATAGACAGCTCAAATCCCGTTCATTATCCATTGACCAAACAAACTTACATTAGAAAGGTTCGACTATTTTTTAAACGAATGTCCTTCAAAGAAGATAACTTACTAGAGTGCCGAGAAGTCACCCCCGTTTTTTCCTTCACATTTCCCTGACCATTTTTAGCCTTATTTTTGACCTTAAAATGAAACTCAAATTGATATTTGACTTAGAAAATGGCCAAAAGAGGAAGGAAAAAAGTTCAAAAATGGTCAAGGCAATAGAAGGGAAAAAAGAGGGGGACCTCCAAAAATAAAATTACCAGTCGAATAAAAATTTAGCCCAAACCTAAAGGAATGAGAACTGGACCAGTTAACCCGGAAACCCCCTCCCCCTTTAAAAATAAAATAAAAAAGCAAACCGTTTCAAATCCATTAGTAAAATCTACAGGTTTTTCGCAATCCTTTTCCAAAGATTTTGAACAATTCCTTTCTTCAAGTTTCTTGTCTGACAAAAGAAAATTACTTATTGAACAAATTGCTGATTGAGGGATTTTTGCTATTACATTTAATGAACTTGTTGTAGACATTTCTTTATAAAAATATTTAAAAAAATAATTAAAAATTAAATAATTTTAAAGAAAAAGTTACCCATAATAATTAGATGTTTTGAAATTAAACAAAGAAAATAAAATCAATTCATCTACAGACAAAATGGTCAGAGGGCAAAAAATGACAAAATGTCGAACGGAGACAAAATGGAACTATAGGTAAAAAGAGACAAAATGGAACTAAGAATAAACATCGACAAAATAGTACAACGACAAAATGGTTCACAGTTAAGAAATTGACAAAATGGTACAACTGCTAAACAGCGACAAAATAGTACAACCGCTAAAGAAGACAAAAAAGTACCCAGGGTAAAAAAAGATACAAAATGGTACTCTTAAAAAATGGTACTATATGTAAACTTGGATAGTAAACATCGGTAACATTGATTAAATATGTATGAAAAAATAATTTTTAAATATACAAGACTAATAAAAAATATTGGATATAGTGTAGTGTACCGGTGGTAAAAGTTAAGGAGGTGACATATGTCATTCGATTCGTCTCGACGAGCTGAGTCGAACGGTACCACTCCCTACTTTAGGAAATAATTCTGGACCGAGTTATAGGTCCCGAAAAATCGAAAAACCAAAGGGGGGACCAAGCATTTTTTTGGGGTGAAAAATTCGAAAATGCAAATTATACCTCATTCGAAAGAGCTCGTCGAGCTGAGTCGAATGACACAAAAATCAGCTTGATTGAACAAGTTTGAGTCGAGATATAGGGCTCGAAATGGTCAAAAACCATAGGGGGGATTTTATGGTCAAAAATTCGATTCCACAAATGTTAGCTCATTCGAAAGAGCTCGACAAGCTGAGTCGAATGACATCAAAATCACCGTGATTGAACATGATTAGACAAAGTTATGATACAAAAAACAAAAAAACCTAAACCTATGGAGCGTCGGCGAGGCGCTTGTGCAAAACCCCGCGCTTCGCGCGGGGTTTTGCGGCACGCGCCTCGCTGGGAGTCTACGGGCGGTGGGTCTGGGCTCGTAACATAAACCTATTCCTATCTCCCTTGCTCTGGACGTATTTGGGGCCTCCGTAGCAGCAAAAATCTCTACAAATGACATAGGTAAGGAGCTAAAACAAACGGTCATAACTTTGTCAAATCAAGTCGGATTTTGTTGATTTTGGTGTCATTCAACTCAGCTCGACGAGCTCTTTCGAATGAGGTATAATTTGCATTTTCGAATTTTTCACCCCAAAAAAAGTGCTTGGTCCCCCCTTTGGTTTTTCGATTTTTCGGGACCTATAACTCGGTCCAGAATTATTTCCTAAAGTAGGGAGTGGTACCGTTCGACTCAGCTCGTCGAGACGAATCGAATGACATATGTCACGTCCCGAACTTTTACCACCGGTACACTACACTACAGCCAAAATATTTAAAAATAAATACCAAATTTTCTCTTCCTTACAAAATCACCCGCGTTAAAATCAAACAACTTCAATCTTTCCTTTTCCCTCTAGTGTACTTTTCTTATCCAAGAAAATTGTTTAAAATTCCTTGTGCCATTTCACCATTAATTAAACCATTCATTTGGCTTAGCACAGTTGAAGGATTCTTTAAAAAATTTAAAAAATTATCCCCCACAACCCCCTCATTTTGGGTCCAACCCAGAGAAGTTTGACTCCCAGAAGCATCTCCGTTGGTGGTCAACTCGGGTATTGTGACTTATAGGGGGTTTTTATTGGCTGGACCGATTTCGACAAATGAGGTGTCATTCGAAAGAGCTCGCCGAGCTGAGTCGATCCCGCGGGGGAAGAAGTCGATCCGACAATCAGGGACCGAGTTACAGACCCCTGAAGTTCGAAAAAGAGAAGGGGGGAGTAAGCTCATTTTGGGATGAAAAGGTCGAAAATGCAAATAATAGCTCATTCGACTCGGCTCGTCGAGCTGAGTCGAATGACACCAAAATCATCGAAATCCGACTTGATTGGACAAAGTTATGATCGTTTGTATTATCTCCTTACCTATGGTCATTGGTGAGGTTTTTGCTGCTACGGAGGCCCCAAGTACGTCCAGAGTAAGGGAAATAGGAATAGGGTTATGTTACTGACCCAGACCCAGCGACCGTTGACTCCCCGCGAGGCGCGTGCCGCGAAAGCCCGCGCGAAGCGCGGGCTTTCGCACAAGCGCCTCGCCGACGCTCCATAGGTTTATGTTGACCATTTTGAACCTGTTTATCTCGGCTCAGAATCAAGATATCGAGCTGATTTTGGTGTCATTCGACTCAGCTCGACGAGCCGAGTCGAATGAGCTATTATTTGCATTTTCGAATTTTTCACCCCAAAATGAGCTTACTCCCCCCTTCTCTTTTTCAAACTTCAGGGGTCTGTAACTCGGTCCCTGATTGTCGGATCGACTTCTTCCCCCGCGGGATCGACTCAGCTCGGCGAGCTCTTTCGAATGACACCTCATTTGTCGAAATCGGTCCAGCCAACAAAAACCCCCTATAAGTCACAACATTCGTCAACTCCAAATATAAAGGGGATCAAAGGACAAAAAATGATATGGTGTAAAGCATATAGCTATTTAATTCCTAAGGCTATACAGTAGGCGCGTGGTGTAATGGCCATTGATCCCCTTTATACATCAGTCCGGTCTACTGAAGATGCTGGTTCGCTCCCAGCCGCCGAATAACCTTTTGCACTAGCTAAAGGAGAGAAATAGCTATAGCCCAGTTGCTTTACTATGGCAGGAAGGCCAACATATTCATGATACGAGGGAGTGACCACTAAGAGGGGGTGACCATTAGGGAAGTTAAAACCTTCTGGATTGATCCCCCAAACTTACTCGATCAATTAATCCAGTTACTTGATCACAACGAGAAACAGAGCTTTTTTGTTAAAAAATTTGTAAAAATTAAAAGAAAATTTTTTCTTTTTTATTTTACCGATTTACTCACCGTTGCATATTTGTAGCCAAATTTATTGAGCCTTTAAAGAAAAAAAATTTTTTAATGAGGGATGACAATTGGAGAGGGAGACGATAGAGTGATGACTTGTGGAGGGGACTGGACTATCAACATTACGAATTCGGAATCGGGGCTGTGCGCCAAAAAAAAACGCCAAATTTTTAAATGTATGCCAAGTGCAAAATGGATGCCAAAAGCCATGGCGCACAGCCATGTTCGGAATCTTACTGATGCGAGGGAGGGCATTTTGGCGATTTGCGGTAAAAATTTGAAATTGGCCCTAGGTTGTCGCACATCCTTTATTCTACTATAATTCACATCCCCGGTCAGAATTGTTTCGGATACCCTCTCTATAGTAGATCCAATGCCCCCCCCCACCTTTCCCCTACCAACCAAGAATGTCACATCCACTAATTGCCCTCCTCAATTGTCCACAATGTTCCCTTTCTGCGCCCATTTTACATGTTTCTTTACTTGCCCTCAAAAGGTCTATTTTGCCTGTAAAATGATTCGGATTTTTTCAGAATTATTGAAAAAACTTGCCTCCAGTTAATGCGTTGTTTATTTCCTTTCCCCAGGTATCCCATGTCTGTACAAAATTTTTATTGGTATATAAATCAGAATTCTGATTAATAATTTTAAATCAGAATTTTTAAAGGTCAAAATTCTGATTGTATAAAATCAGAAATAATTTTTTAAAAGAATTCTGATTGTATAAAACAGAATTCTGATTTTCAAAAATTCTAATTGGTAAAATTCTGATGAAATTCTGATTTATTATTAAAATCAGAATTCTGATTTTCAAAAATTCTGATTGTATAAAACAGAATTCTGGTTTTTTAAATTCTGATTTTAAAAGTTCTGATTTTTTTAATTCTGATTCTCAAAAATTCTGATTTTAGAAATTCTGATTTTCAAAAATTCTGATTTTTTAAGTTCTGATTTACAAAAATTCTGATTTTCTAAATCAGAATTCTGATTTTTCCCTTTTTACTAAAAATAAAAACTTTTTCATCCGCCTGTTTAACACAATTTCCATAGGCTATTTTCTAACAAAAAAAATTCAGAACAAAATTTAAAAAAAATTCTACCATAAATTCCCCCAGAAAAGGGACACAACCTTCTCCCTGTTTAAATCCAAAATTTTTTTGAGCACCCGGGAATAGTTGATCCAACTTTGGAAAAACACCAACAGATTTTGAAGACGAGGAGGATGAGTAAGAATTTCGCCTATCATCAGAAGGAGTGATTAAATTATTTTTATTTCCATTGTCTACAGAGAAGAGACGCATTGCCTTAAGGGGAAGAAAAAATGATTGAAAGATGAGCAAAACCCTGAGGGTTTTGGTTAATGACCAGCGGTCAACCTATGGGCTTGGTGATGTAAGAGAATATTTGGTTAGGTGTGCGCCAAAATTGCAAACGCAAAAAATATGAATGGATTCCGATTTATAGTAGAATCAGAATTAAATTTTTGAGAGAATTCTGATGCGAAATCAGAATCCTGATTTTAAAAATTCTGAAAAATCAGAATTAATTTTTCAGAAGAATTCTGATTTTTTTAAAACTTGAATGCTGATTTTTAAAAATCTGAAAAATCAGAATTTCGATTTCTAAAAATTCTGAAAAAAACAGAATTCTGATTTTTAAACATTCTGATTTTTTTGAAAATCAGAATTAATTTTTCAGAAGAGTTCTGATTTTTTAAAACCACAATTCCGATTTTTAAAAATTCTGATTATCTTAGGGTAAGTGTGCGCCCAAAACATGGATTACGAGCCCCCTTCCTTCCCTCACATTTTCTCCTATTTTTGGCCTAATTCCTTCACTTATTAATTTATTCACCTGTCCAACCATTCCATCCAAATTATTTCCTCCTCTACTATTTTCTGCTGACCCAAACGTAGAGATTCCTCTATTGGACCGAAAATTTCCTCCACTTCTTGTATCTTCATCATCCCTTCTAGCAGAAGTTCCAAGAAATTGACCAGCCAATTGTTCAATTAATGAGCGGCCACCTTTGTGGTTAAATATATTTTTTTCTGAATTTAGGGATGGGGCCAAGAGAGGAGATTCTGATAGGGATTTTCCAAAATCTCGATTCTCTTAGGACCCTCTAAGTCTGTTTCTGGTTTCGGGGTTGGGCCAATTGAGGGTTCGCGATATCCGAAGGTGGGTGTGCGCCATAAAATAGACAGCTTGGACCTATATCAAAACCAGAAGTGAGGGCATTCCACTTCTTGAAGTCGTCTCTTGCGCTCAACCTCATTCGGATACTGAACTCGGAGCCCAAACAAAAACTTTTTTGATACCCTAACTTTTTCGGATCCAAAGGAGCTAACCTGATTTCAAAAGAGCTGAAAGTTTCCCCAAACCCAATGTCAAAAAATCTTTTCCCCAATTTCAAAAAATTTTTCTCACCCCCATTGCTATTGCTATCCTCCCCAGATGTAGTTCCTTGTAAAGGTTGTGGATTACTTAAAGACGCTCTTGTTTCAGGTTGTTGTTGTTGTACCCGTTGTCCAGTTAAAGCACTAGCAATGCTTTGTCTGACTGGGCCCATTAAATTCGTCAAGCCTTGGCCGAACATCTAAAAATTAATTTTAAAAAAATTCCAGAGGCTCGAGTACCTCAGATGGCTGAGAATCAAGAGAGACAGGGCGAACTTCTGGTCCAGAATTTGAACTGAAATTTCACAAAAATTTGTCTTTTTGTCGCAAGACCATTTTGTCGCAGACCTATACCCTTTGAAAGAATGGACTTTTACCTCTTAGTAAGAGACAGGTAAAAGTTTAGCTTCGGGCAGGCAACGAGTCTGAAGACCCCTGGTAGTTACTACATAAAAGATGAATGTTCCCTTCACTCTATTCGTAGTGTGAAGGGAACAGAAATTTGGTTAACTATGTACTTGGAGCTTTACTGACTGATTGTGAGATACCGAGGATCTTTCTCTTCACTCCCTCAATTCTTCCTTACAAAAGGCTAATTGACTGTTATTAGTCTGCGACAGAGTGGCCTTCAGGGCGGGTGTTCAAAATTCCGGTTAAAATTTTACATTAATTCCCCATTACTTCTAAAGGTTTGGGCTGCAATTTGAGTTGCTGCTTGTGTAAGCTCTGCTATATCCTTTGGAGTTATTAAATTCATAAAAGAGCCAACCCCGCCTTTATCCAATTCCTTAACGATAAAATTTTTTGAAAATTTTTAAATTAAAAAATACCTGAGATTGAATGCATTTAAAGTTGAGAATGTTTATTAAAATAAACGGAAAAATGGAAAAAATAATAAATAGATCAGTCAAAGCCATATTTTTAAAAAGAAAACTTAAAATTTGTTTATAGTGCTCATGTTTTTCAGAATCTATGGAAGGGGATTTTCCGTGAAGACGGGGACGGGACCCACTACCCATAACGCCGCTAAAATACTGGAGGATCAGGGAAGCTTTACCTCTGTAATGTTCCCTTCACTCTATAAGTAGTGTGAAAGGAATCTGGATGTTCGATTTATGTAAATGTTCCCTTCGCCCCATATGTAGTGCGAATAGAACATGGCCCTTTGAAGAGAACATAGCCATGCCTACTTTTATAATGTTCCCTTCACTCTATATGTAGTGTGAAGAGAACAAGGCCCTTTGAAGAGAACATAGCCATGCCTACTTTTATAATGTTCCCTTCACTCTATATGTAGTGTGAAGAGAACATGGCCCTTTGAAGAGAACATAGCCATGCCTACTTTTATAATGTTCCCTTCACTCTATATGTAGTGTGAAGAGAACATGGCCCTTTGAAGAGAACATAGCCATGCCTACTTTTATAATGTTCCCTTCACTCTATATGTAGTGTGAAGAGAACATGGCCCTTTGAAGAGAACATAGCCATGCCTACTTTTATAATGTTCCCTTCACTCTATATGTAGTGTGAAGAGAACATGGCCCTTTGAAGAGAACATAGCCATGCCTACTTTTATAATGTTCCCTTCACTCTATATGTAGTGTGAAGAGAACATGTCCCCTTGAAGATAATCACCCTCTTTCAATAATTGCCCCCACCGTACAATGTTCCCTTCACTCCATAAGTAGTGTGAAGAGAACACAACATTTTACCTCCAAGAATTTTACAAAAATCCAATTTAAGATGGCGTAATTTTATGGATCAGGGAATTTTCTTTAAAAGAAATTGCTTTCATTTTTCCAATTTCTCTTTTTATTTGAACCGCGCAGGAAAATTCCACAAACAAAAAAGCATTTCCGTATTCCTCCCTCTCTCAAACCTCTTCTCTAATTTAATTTTACAGGAATAAAAAATTTTTTTATCCTGTCGATACTTCTTTTAATTTTCTTCAATTTTTGAAACTCAACAACAAAAATTACGCTTTAATTTTATTGATGGGATATAAATCGCCCAAAAAGCGCTTGACGGAAAATTATGCATCCACTCTTTATGAGAGATTTTCTAAATAAATTTTGGGGGGAGAGAGAGATCTCTTCTCTCTCTTTAATTCGATAATCGCCCACAAAAAGCACCATTTTTCCGCCATTTTTATTCAGTGATTGACCATCATCATCATCATCAACATATAAAAAAAACTAGAGTATTTTTATATGTGAAAAAAAGATGAATTAAAAAAGAATTTTTGATGAAAAATAAACAAGTTTGTAGTATTTGTAGAATCTCCCCCTCACAAATAATGATAACCAGTGCCTCAAAAAATCAGTTACTGTGCGCCATAAAATATTTCCAAATCCATGGCGCAAACTAGTGTACGCCAGAGATGGAACGGGTTAAAAAAACCGAGACGGGTTTCGGGTAATCCGACCCATCCCTGGTGTGCTCCCTTAAAGCACTACTTCCTAAAAAAATTTTTTTTCCGGTTCGTGTCCGGATATTCGAAAGTCCCCTGATTTGGTTCTATAGATATTCGAATATTTTCCAAAAAACCAAGAAAAGACTCGTCATATTCAAGATCTAAGTTAAAGTTCAAAAATGGTTCATGGCGTGGCCAACGTGCTTTCGCCATGTTCAACAGGTTCAAACATGTTCAACACGTTACATACTTTGTTAACCTCACAAAGAGGGGAACAGGCTACGGAAACAAGCCACGAAAACAGGCCAAGCTAAGATACCATCGAGCTATATGGGCAGAATTATTCAATCAGGGACACCTTGATATAGAGCTCAATTCAGCTCGTTAATGAGCATCGAATCATATCAAGATATCCCAGATTCGATAATTTTGCACGAAGTTATAGCTCTGCAGTACCTTAGCCTCGCAGCACCTTAGGAAGTACCCCACAATGAGGTTAATGTGAATAAATGCTTAACTGCCTGTGAATAAATGCTTAACTGCCCCCAATGTCTTCTACGCAATCTCACGGAAAAACATTATTTTAGATTAAATATTTTCTTAATCAAAAAAATTCTTAGTTAATTTTTTGGCCTATAAAATTTATTTTTGATAATTTTTAATAAAAAAAAATATATAAATTAGGTAAATTTTTTATTTTTTAATTACCCGGATTTTCTTCCTCCTCTTCTTCTTTAGCTGCTTTTTTATTATTTTCAATTATTTTCTTAATTTCGTCTGGATAGTCTTGGTTAATAAATTCATTTACTTGACGCTTGAATTGTTCAGAATCTCTGAAAAAAATTTTTAAAAGTTAAGAAAAAAAATTTTTAAAGGTGAAAAAAAATTTTTTTTTAAATGAAGTAAAAATTTTTAAGCCAAAAATAACGATATAAATTCGAAAAAAAAGAAAATTAAAAAATCCGGCACTAAGAGGTATCGAACCTCTAAGAGAAAACAAGTGTAGCCAGAAGCACTACCACTACACCACAACTGCCGATAACTGATTCTCATTAAAATAATGGGTAAACCTCAAATAAGTCCAGGCCCTATAACTCATGAAAGAATGAACAGTTTTTAGCATTCTTGGTACCATTGGATAGAGAATTGAATAAACTACAAGTTGACAAAAAATCAAAATTCTTAATTGACCGACAAAAACGTTATGATCGATAAACTACCAAAAAATCACCTATTTTTAAAAAAATTTTTTAGTTTTTAGATCATAACTTTTTCATAAATCAATCGATAATTTTGATATTTTGCTTTCCTGTAGTGTGTTCAATTCTCTATTTAGCAGTACCAAGAATATTAAGAAGTGACCACACCATGATGAGTTATAGGGCTAGAACTCAACTGAATAAGGGACTCATTGTCAACTTACTCAACTGATCCGTAACCTTAAAAATACTTTTTTTCTGAAAAATAAGATTGTTGCTCTCTTATAGCAAATTTCAAGAGCTTTAGAATGAGCCCAAAATAAAAATTTAACAAAATCCGTAACGGGTCGAAAAATATTTTTTAAAATAGCCTACCCCTATTTTCTACCCCCAAAAAAATTAAAAACCTTTCAATGCCTGCTTCCAATTGTTCCACTTTTCCAACTAATTCTGCTTGTTTACTCAACAATCCATCAATTCTCTTGATTGAGTTGCCAATTGATCTCATTACCTTCAAAAAAATTTTTTTTTGAAAAATTTTCAAAAATTAAAAATCAAACGTAGGTGCTTATTGAATTTTTAAATGAAGTTGGAATGCGTTTTCCACTCGTATAATCCTCAAATTCTTCATCGGTTAATTGTAAACTGGATGCTCTCATGTCTTGAATGAAATATATTGCACTAAAGAAAAAACTTTATTAAAATAGAAAAAAAATTTTTTTTTTGAGGACATGCTAGGTAAAGAAATAACGATATCACCCTTCTCCTAGGCTCCACCAATTTTTTATTATATTCCAGAGAAAACGTAAAAACAGACAGAGACGTATTCAGAGCAGGGGTGTCAAAATTTTCCGCAGCCGCAATTTTAATTTAAAAATCCGCAGCCTTAATCCGCAAGTCCAAAAACCGCACAACCCTCATGTCAGTCCACAATCCGCAATTGCGTACACCCCTGATCCAGAAGAATGAAATCAGGGCTGCACGCAATTGCGGGTTGCGGATTTAAAAAAAAATTGTGTGGATTGCGAGTTGCGGATTGCGACTTTTTTTCAATTGCGTGCAGCCCTGGGTAGAAAGGTCCCCCGAAATATACGTATAAAAAATAAATTTTAAACCGCCAAATGTTGGCGCACAACCCGACATTATCAGAAAAACCTTTTCCAAAAATTTTAAAAATTTCCAAACCTGCTCAAATTTGTAAAATAATAGCCTTAAAAACAAAAAAAAATTTAATAAAAAATAAAAATTAAAAAAACCATATTCTCCACGCATATGTCTTGAAGGTAAACCAAACCGACAAATAAATTTTAAATTTGATTGAATTAATGGAGGATTTGCTTTCAACACAATTAAAATTAAAACTGGCAAAAATTCATCTGCACTTGCTGGGGCGCCAAAACGGCTTTCTTTGAGGGCATTGAAAATGTTTTTTGAACATCGAACGAGGCATTCCCTTTAAATTATAAAAAAATTTTTAATCAACTTCTGCCAGGCTAAAATACACAGCCAGGACAAAACAAAGACCGATAAAATGTCGTCCGAACAAAATAGTTCCCAGGGATTAAGGGGATGTAATAAAAGGATTTGGAAAGATAGGGGATTTAGATTTACTGCTTAAAAATCTCCTTTAATCCAACCATCTTCCCTCTTTTTGGTGCCGAAGTTGTCGAAAAATTTGTACGGATTTTTGTTAAAAATGCGGATTTTTTTTTACAAAAATTGCAACTTTTTAAAAATTCGAGACCGGAGCCCTGTATGAATGCTTTTGGATGACTTGAGTTTTTCCCACTATAAAAATAATCGTCTCTTAAATAGAGAAAAGATCATTTAGGCGGAAGCCAATTTTAAAGTTAAAAACCAATCTTAAAATTTAATGATTAAATTGTCCAAAAAAAATTTTTTTGCGGACACTTGTTGCGGATTGCGCTAAAATATTGCTACGGAAAGTTAAATAATTTCTACAAACAGTTCAATAAAAACAGAAAAAAAATTTTAAAATTAAAACAAACAAACATTTTTTTAACAACAGAACGTTGACTGTTTAAATCCACAATTTCCGTTATTGCCTCATCCATATATTCCTGAACCTGTGCAGAAGACTCATCCAAAGCAGTTTCCAAAAATCCATTTGTTACCCAATTTAATGAACGTATTCGAGTTTGTAAGCTTAAATCTTCCGTTTCTTCCTCTGTTCTATAAAATTGAAATTTTTTTTAATTTTAGTTTAAATTTAAGGCATGAATTAGGCAAAAACGATTGAAATTTCAAAAAATTTCAAAAAATTTTTTTGCGGATAATTTTTTGCAGATTGCGGACAAAAAAATAATTGCGGACAATTTTCTGCTAATTGCGGACAAAATATTTTTGCGGATTGCGGACAATATTTCTTAAGTAAAAAAAGTTTTGCGGACACCTTTTTACAAATTGCGGACAAAAAATTTAATTGCGGACAATTTTTTGCGATTGCGGACAAAACATTTTTGTGGACAAATTTTTTATTATGGATATTTTGCGCTACGGACAATATTTCTGGAGTAAAAAAACTTTTTCGGACACTTTTCTAATGTTGCGGACAAAAATATTTTTTGCAGACAAATAAATACTTCCCAAAAATAAAAAAACCCAAATCATCCCCATTTTTACAATTAAAACCCACAAACCTCGAACCAAAAAGTATATGATAACCAGTTACACAAACAAAAGTTTCAATTTCAGTCATAAATTTTGCAAAATTAAGGTCTTGAGGTAGCGATTTTATTTTATTTATTTCATCTCTCATTGTTTGGTAAAATGATTGGACAGAATTCGACAAGTCATCGATTGGAGCTAATTCATCCTGAAAATTCATTTTAAGTTTTATGGGAGAAGAAACGTAAGAGTTGAGTGGTTGGATGGCCCAACGGATTAGGCCGCAGTTTGGTGAGTAGAGGCTCTGGATCAGACCTGGGCGAAACTCAAAATTTTTTTCTGACGAAACGAAACGAAACAAAATTTTTTAAAAATCGTTTCGTTAACGAAACGAAACGAAACAACCAAAATCTTACGAAACGAAACGAAACAAAACGAAACATTTTAATATTCAAAAAATTTTCAAAACTGCATTTATTTCGAAATTATTCGACCTCAAATACGTTATTAGTCGACTATGACTTATAAATGATTTAGTTATTGGTTTATTTACAACAATTGTGTCCCATAAGCCAGGCCCGTAGCAAGGAAAATTTTCGGGGAAGGGGGGGGGTCAATCATTTTCGAAGCCAAATTTTTGGCGACGCTTTTTTTTAAATAAAATTGAATATTTTTCAAGTAAAATTTTATTTTAAGCGCCGCAGACGAAAAATTTTAAAATTTTGAAAGGCCGTAGGCCAAAAAATTCACCATCTTGCTCCATTGCCTACCCAAATTGTCTCCATATCTCCATTTCGAGAGGAAGGCGATATAAGCTAGTGCTTCGCCGGAAGTTCCGGTTCCAGTATTTCCGCAACTCGCAATCCGCAATTTTTAAATTATGATGCGAGTCCGGTAATAGAATTTGTCGTCGATTAAGTAATATGTATATGTGGATTAGGGAGTGGAGTATAAACGGATTTGTAGTATATAAGTAATTGCTATCTTCCTTTTTCAGCGCCGCAGGCGAAAATTTTGACAATTTGGGAAAGCCAAGAAGCCGAAATTCTTTTTTTTTCAGCGCCGCAGGCGAAAATTTTTTAAATTTTCAATAAAAGATGGTAAATTTTATAGATTTTGGCCTTAGTTTAGGCTTAAAAAATTGTTTCGTTTCGTTGAAAAATCACAGGTGTTTCGTAACGAAACGAAACGAAACAAATTTAAAAGTGTTTCGTAACGAAACGAGACGAAACAGTAAAAATCATACGAAACATACGAAACAACGAAACGAAACGAAACGTTTCGCCCACGTCTGCTCTGGATCGAAGAACAGCAGTTCAACCCAATTTTACAACCGGCACTTTTTCCAAAGTTTGGCATTCCGCCGGTTTTTATTGAGTTTGGTGTTCAGCACGAGAAGATGACTAGAGTCCCAAAGGAGGGATCCCGTACACGATTTTATTGAATGCCCTTCTGAATTCCTAGGTTCCTGTCCCGAAGTCCCAATGCGATTTTGCTTATCTCTAAAAAACCAATGTGGGAGTTGATCTACTATCATATCTACAAAGTTAGAAATTTTTTTCAAAATTTCAAGAAAATGAACAATTCACTCAAAAATTTCCAAAATTAGTCAAAAATAAGAATTCAAAATAAAAAAACCTTTGCCAATTTTTCAATAAATATACGGCATTGTTTTTCCAACTCTTTTGCATCGGCAAAGGAAAAGGTTGAAGACAAATATTTTTGAAAATCGGCTAATGCTGTGCTAGAGTCTGGACTTGAGGACCTAAAAAATTGTTTTTTAAATTTCTGAAGAATCAAAAAAACCTTTCATCCAAAATTGTAGGAGCCATATTGAGAGAAGATGATTGTTGTTGTTGAGAAGTTAATTGGTCGTCTGAAAAACAAAATTGTTAATGAGACTGGAAGGTTATTCTGAAAAGTTACACACTCTGCCATAATTTAAAATTTTAACTTATTTTTCCGTGTGATTTCCTTATATCCGTAAAATCCGCAAATATTGTCCGCAATAAAATGTAACTTTTACCGAAATGCCGAAATACAAACCCCAAAAAACTGCCAAAATACCAAATTGTGGACAAAGGTGGACGTTGTTTCGTCAACTTGTAAGGCTTTTACAATCAACATTTTGGTATTTCGGCGTGACTTTGAGGAAGATTTGGTATTTTGAGAGGTTTGGTATTTGAGGGCGGGGGGGGGGGCTTGGTATTTTTAAGAGGTTTTGCATTAGACACTCGACTGTGTGCCAGCAAAATTTTAAATGAATTTGAGGTAAATTTTTTTGATAAATTTTTCCTTTGGACTCTGACTATAAATAAGTTTGAGTTCACTTCAAATGCTTATTAATGTTTCTAGGCTATTTTAAGTAGACAAATAATAATGGACCCCTAGGCAAAATTTTTAAAATTATGAGAAAAATCTTTTGCACTTTTTAAAGCAGGTCAACAAACATTAAAAGAAAAAATTATTAGTATACACTTCCTTTATACTCACAAAAATCCGCAAAACCTGTCCGCAACTCATTAATAGATTTTGCGGACAACCTTTGCAGATTTTAAGGACAAAAGGAAAAATGCCTATACTCTTCCTTTATGCTCACAAAAATCCGCAAAAAAATGTCCGCAAATTCCAAAATTCTTCCAAAACCCAAAACAAATCCGCAAATTTTTGCGGACAATATTTGCGGATTTTAATGACGAACCCCCCAAAAATGATTCCAAAAATATGGTTGAGGCGTGAAGCTAGGTCCTTCAAAAAAATTAAAAAAACAAACTTGAAAAAACTGAAGGGGACTTCTTCAAAAGCGTTCGAAAAGTTTGCCTAACATCAGAAGTCTTGCTACTAATATTTCTTTCAGTCGTTTCCTTCCTCAACAATTCTTTGTTTTTGTTGTAGTCATACAGACGTTTATTTTCGAGTTGATAATTCTTCCAGCATTGAGAACAAAGTCCTTTACATTGCGGGGTGCCGTAAAAACCACATTGGTTTTTGCACAACTAAAAATTATTTTTCTAAAAAAAGTCCGCAAGTTTTGTCCGCAATTATTTTAGTCGTAGAAATATCCCTGAAATACCAAAACGCCCAAATACCAAAATGCCAACAAGAAAGCTAATTTAAACTTCGAAAGACGACGTGCGAAACACAAAAAATGCGAAACACTTTGTTAGAGGACGAAACGACGCATTTCTGGTATTTAAGGTAAAAAGTCAAATTAGGCGCATGTATGGTTTGCAGCCAAAACTTGCGGACTTTTGATAGCATAAAAGTAAACTAAAAACGAGATCTCATGTTAGTTTCGTTGGGAACCTAGGAAGTTTTAACTAGGGATGCCACGGGTCACCCGAAATCCGAAACTCAGACAAATTTTCAATCCAAAATCGTATCCGAGAAATCCACGAAAACTCGTTCCAAAATCCTTTGTTTCTCTGTACCCGTGACCAGGCCCGTAACCAGGATTTTTTTTCGGGGGGGGGGGGGGGGGGGGGGGGGCCAAGGGGGGAAAATTTTTTCTGCGCCAAATTTTTGGCGCCGAAGGCGCCAAAAATTTTTATTTTCAGCGCCGCAGGCGAAAATTTTGAGAATTATTGAAGGCCGTAGGCCAAAAAAATTCACTTTTTCGGCGCCGCAGGCGCCAAAAATTTGATTTTCAGCGCCGCAGGCGAAAATTTTTTAAATTTCAGAGGCCGTAGGCCAAAAAAATTCACTTTTTTTGCCCCAGCCCTTCCCCAAATTTTTTCCTTTTTCCCATTTCGGGGGGGGGGGGGAATTCCCCCCCCCCTGGTTACGGGCCTACCCGTGACGCCCCTAGCACCCAAGTAATTAAAAACAATAGAAAATAGCGGCCCAAAAATAACCAATTGCCCAAAACAAACAAACCTTTTTCTACCAAATATTTACTCAAAAAATATACCACAATCAACTAACCAATTCATTATCAGTCAAACAAAAAGGAAGACGTCTCTCATCCTGTTGTTGAAGAGATTCATGAACAATACCACGATGTGACATTTTTCTCTTAAAAATGATTTTAAAAAACTTGCGGATTTTGTCCGCAAAAAACTTGCGGACTAAAAAAAATAAAATATTTGAAGTAAAAAAACTTGAAAAAAAAAAATAAAATTTAAAAGAAATTTTATTCAAAAAATTTAATTGATATGCTAATAAAACTAGAATTAATAACAAATGGTTTAATCACGAGCCCGTTTCCAGTCAACCAAGGAATAGGCCAAGTTGAATGAGAAAAAATAGGGTCAGATTTCGAGATTCAAAATCGTTTTAGGATAAGTTTTAGGTCAAAAAACGTTCAGGTTTCGAGTTTTGAGTAACTCTCTGCCCATCCCTTCACATTCAACTTTTTAACTGCACAGAAGAATTTAAGTAAAAAAAATTTTTAAAGTGAAATTTTTAAAAATTCAAAGGCACAAAAGAAGGAATACCGTAAATGTTTTGATTAAAGCCCGGATCTATTAGAAGCCTATATCTAATACACCTCAAGCCTCCCAGGGAGGCCCATCGAAAAAAATCATACACAATAGAGACCCTCTCTAATAAAAACCCACTTTCTAATTAAACACCCACACTCTAATAGAAGACCATAATACAAATCCACTTAAAAGTAATCTAAAAATGGACAAGAGCTTTAATTAGAACATTTACGTAGATGAGAAAAATTGAGCAAAAATAAGTTTAAATAAAAAAATCACAAACTATGAAGAAAAGTTTTAATATTTTCAAAAGTTATAAATAAAGCTGCACTAGCAATACAAGTTCGAATTAATGTTGGTGACAATCCTTTATATAAAGCAGAAATTCCTTGAAAAAAAATTTTTATTTTTAAAAAATTAATCAAAAAATAAACCTTCATTTTTAACAATTTTCATTAAAATGGTTGAAAATCGTCCAGTTTCACCTATTTGCATTCGACTCTTTACTAAAAAAAATATAATATCAATAAAATATTTTTTTTATTTAAAGCCAGGTTACTCATTTGTCAGTGAAACCATGTGTGAATCAGTGAAACAACTCAGCCCAAAATTTTACAAGAAAACCCGCAAACAACAATAGTAAATCGAGGGTCCTCTATCGATTCGTACCAAAAAATATATCAAATTCGCAGTCAGTAAACGATGGTCCCTTGTAAGTAAGGCACTCGTACCAACATTCGTACTTGTACCAAGAAGCAAGGGGGAAGCCAGGGGATCAATTCATTCAATTTTCGAGAATTAAAGTATAAAAAAGTGCCAAAATTTTGAAAACTTTTCGACCCGTAATAACAAATGCGTAGTCAGAGGTCGATTTCGGGTAGGGGGGGGGTGCTTATACTTAAACCAGGAAAATATAGTCATATTGCCAAGTCCCAGAGAATTCTTACAAAAAAAAATTAAATAATAAAATACCCACCAACATCTGCAGGGAAAATAGCTGTCCACAGTGCCATTCCACCAATACCACCAGAAATAGCTGTTCTTAATACTCCTTTAAAAAGAGTTATCTCAAAAAATTTTTTTCAAATTCCAAACCAATTTCTTCTTTTGTTTTTCCAATCGGAGTTAAAAATTTCCTTGACATTTCATACTAAAAATAAAGTTAAAAAATTTAAAACTAAAATAACCGCTCCAAAAAAGCAAAAATATCCAGGAACTTCACGTATTAGTGTAGCCACAAATCCTGTATAAAATGACCGAATTCCTCCCTCTTGAAACATTTCACGACAAATGGAGGCTGGCGTTCTGTAAAAAATGTGAGTAAAATAGAATTAATAAGAGCCGTATTGGAAAGTGTCAAAGCGCCGAAATGCCAAACTGAAGACTCGGCGGTTTGGCAATTCAACACTGGGCATTGCGCTTTGGCGTTATAAAAACACACCGTTAAAAACGTTCAGAAAATAAACGAAGGATCCAGAAGAGAATTACAGGCAAGAAATGGACCCTTAGAAATTTTAAAAGTGAAAGACGGAAAATGGTAGAAAAAACAAAAGAGGAAATAGGAAGGGTCAAAAAAGACAGATTCAGTCGCTGAGATTCTGTCGCCAATAACACTAAACAAGTATCAAAAAGTGAAAAATTAAAACAACAAACTTGACAAATCTAGAATTAACTTCCGATTGAGCTTGTAATTTGCACTTGACCAATTCTAAAAATAACAAATTCCCAAAAAAATTATTCTTTGTAAAATACCAGTTGGGCATAATACAATAGCAGCAAAGAAAGCAGCCAACGCGCCCGCTTTAAAATTTTTTTTATAATTATAAAAAAATGAAAATTCTGTTTCCCCAGGAAAGCAGAAATAACCCTTTCCCTTCCTGAGAGAAGTCCAAGACTAGGTCTTGGGTCAAGACTTTTCTTGGTTTTTTCGGTTCTTTTCTTGGTTTTTTCGGATCTTGGGGACAGTCTTGGGTTTTGGGAGGTCCGTAAAAGTTTTTGGGTCATTAACACGTTTATCCTCACCCCTTTCAAAAAATTAAAAAAAACCTGTAGCATTTCCCAACGGCCCAGTTGTATTGGATCCACTTGCATACCCTACAGCTTTTTGACAAAATCCATATGAAGTGAACAGGACCGCGTTTTCGGAGACATTGGCCACTAAGGATGGTATTGAACCTTTAAAATAAATTTCAAAAAAAGACAAAATGTCGCAAACCTGCATACAATCCTTTTATGCCCCCGGTCCTCATAATATTGCCAAAGCAACTGAGCCAATTGCGATTTAATGTAGGGAATGCTTGCATCTATAAAAAAAAGCATGGCATTAATTTAAGGTAACCCAGACACGAAAATCTTAACTTATAGAGGTGTAGCTTAAATAGAGAGTAATTTATAGTGGAATGTTTCTTTGAAGGCCTGCTACAAGCCGACTCTCCCACTCACGGGCCGTAATATTATCTCTTACCGGTTTATTTATTTCCCTATTCAAGCTTTTTATCTTAAAAAGCACAAAATGGTCAAACTTCTTTTCTTGCACACTCCTCCATAAAAGCTTTACTTCCTAAAAACTAACGCTTTTAGTGTAGGGGAATCAGAAAAAAAGACTAGAATTCTGACCATTATGTACCTTTTAATAAAAAAACTTTAGGAAGAAAAAAGGGTAGGTAAAACATTCTACTACCTACACTACTTGAGATAAACCAGCCCAAACCCTTGGGCCGGGAGACAAAATTAACTGAACAAAAAAAGTAAAATACAAACCTTCACTTTCACTGTATCAAGAGGTTGACCAGAATAAACGATTGCAACACCACCAGCCGTTCCAGCAACAAAATCAATGGCTCCATCCTTAAGGTGTGCAAGAGGATTGACACCAACTACAAGACTATTATCAATCATCTACTTAAAATTGAAAAATTTTTAATTTTTGGCATTTTGAGTATTTGACATTTTGAAATTTTCCAAGAAAATTTTTCAAAATGTCAAATACTCGAAATGCCATATTCCTGAAATTTTGTCCTTTAATCGCGCTTTTTTGTCATTTCAGAAAACTGAGAAAAAATCGGAAATGCTTTTTAATGATAAGAAAAAAAATTTGGGAATGTGTTCTGAGCGTTATGATTTTTTTCTCGAGTGTGTACACCACGTGTACTCACATGTTTTTAATGCATGATTAAATAGCAACACAAAAATGCCAATGGAGGTGGAATAAAGGTGAAAGGTGGAGGGGAACGATAAAAAAATGAAAATTTCGGCAGAATGTACTTTCGGTAAACTATCTTAACTAATTATAGTTGATTAAGCTAGGACAAATTACTGAATAGACATTTTGCCTAAATCGGACATTTCTCTCTAGAGGGCACAGGATTGGATTCTGTTCACTAATCCCGGGTTTTTTCAATTTTTGGGATTTTCGGGATCCCTGTACACTTAATTAAAAAAAGAACAGAAAAATGATTATAAATATAAAAAAATAAAAAATTAATAAATGAATCATTAAAAAAAATTTCTTTTCTATCTCTCAATTTTATTTTTTTCCAAAACACAAAATAAATGTAATTTTAAAAAATAAAAAAAAACCAAAAAATAATAATGATGTAAAAAAATTTAGGGTTGGTCCTCAACCCCGATTCCGCTCTACAATGATTTTTAGGCGACATTCCTCGACCCCGATTCCCTAGCACAATCCATTTACCGACATCCACCTCTCACGTTCTTGACAGTCCATTCCCTGACCCCAATTCCAAAGACCATTCCCCCCGACCGCTCTTACAGTAAGGATGGCGGTTCCTGGGAAATTTCCGGATATCCGGAACCGATATCCGAACCGAAGATTTCCAGATATCCGGGGTTTTTTCGGTTCCGGATACCCGGAACCGCCAACCTTATCCTACAGTCCACAATCCCTGACAGCAATCCCCAAACCATTTCCCGATGCCCTCATTCCCCGAAAAAATTTGTCCCTTGACGGGGCAGGGGACCAACCCCTAAACAAATATCCATCAATCAAAATTTTTAATTTTTCAATTTCAACTTAACCCAAAAATACGAACAGTCTTATCCAAACTACTCGAAGCAACAAATTTTGCATTTTCTCCAAAATTAATTCCAGTAACTACTTGGGTATGTCCATCAAATTGATAAATTTTATTCCATGATTTTACTTGAAATATTTGAACATTTGCCCCACCAATTGCTAAATAAGCCCCAGATTGGTCAAATGTGAGTGCATTTACCTTGAAAGAAATATTTAAAATAAGTGCAAGTTAAAAATTTATTTAGATAGGTTATGGATAGGACGAGTTACCCACAACCCGAGAGCCAAAATCCTGACATTTTTCGACACAAAATTCGAACCCCGATCCGAAATCCGACGCAACTTATATTTTAAATTGAAAAAATCCTTACCCTTCCCAATAACCTAGCCCCAAAAATCCTCCCCAAAAATCTCCAGAAAAGTACTCCCCAATAACTTATTGTTAGCCAGAAAAATCCAACCTCAAAAAAACCTTCCCAAAAAACCTCTAGAAAAATCTTTCCCCAAAAACCCTCCCCAAAAAATCTTCTCCAAAAATCCTTCTCTTGCAAAAGTCCTAGCCTGAAAAACCCTACCCTCTTAAAAAAACCTACCCAAACCCCTCAAAAAATCTCCAAACTACGAAAAAAAAAATAAAAATAAAAAAACCGCTTGTTTAGCATTATAAGGACAAATAGTTTTCAAATTCTTCAATTTTCTCAAATCCCAAATTTTAACTTCTCCATCCAAAGAACCAGTAGCCAAATAATAACCATTCTCAGAAAATGATATTGCACAAACAGAATCTGAATGTCCAGGAAATTGTGCAACATTATTTTGTTCTTTAATATCCCAAATTTTAACTATTGAACTTTTTGCACCAGTTCCAAAAATTAAACCATCAGGGTGAAATTGTCCACAACGTAAAGAGACATCATCATCACCAGATTTAACCTAATATTTTATTAAAATTTTTTTAGTTAATATTGGAAAGTCCTCATGCAAGGGCATATACAAGGGGTCGGATTTCAAAAGGGGCGAAATGTAGTGTACACGCCAAAATTCAGGTATGCAGAAATATCGGGACGGACATATTGGGATATGTCCGACCCACAATCCCGATATGTCCGCACACCCAAAATTCTTGCGTTTCGAAAACGCTAATTCGTTTACCAGGACTGCATCCCACCCGCAAAATAAATTTTAGAAACCGCAATTGCGTGCAGGCCTGGTATACGCCCTTGCATCCCAGGAGTAAGAAAAGTATCTTGTGATGTCGGTGCGAATTATTTTTCGATATCATTCGATAGAAGACCCACAATTTCTTATTCAAATCGAATTTGGGTCGACTTATGGCCGTTCAAAGTTGGACGTTAGAATCAGGAATAGAGATAAGTATTTTCCTCACATCCCCCCTTTTTGAAAAAAGACGAAAAAAAACCTTAATTAACGGGCTGCCAGTATTTAAATCAGTTAATGACCAATACGAGTCGTCTGAAGTACAAAGAAAGTGATCTCCAGTTGGATGAAGAGAGACATCCGTAATTGCCTGGTCGTGAATATTAATTACGTTACGAGCATCTGGATCATTAGCCAACCAAATTCGAATCTGAAAAAATCATTTAGAAAATTTTTCGAAAAATTTTTTGAAAAATTTTTTTAGAAAATTTTCAAAAATTCCAAAATTTTTTCGAAAAATTTCAAAAATTTTAAAGAAATTTCTAAATAATTTTCTGAAAATTTCCAAAAATTTTCAAAAAATTTCAAAAAAATTTTTCTAAAATTCAAAAAAATTTTTTCCAAACCTTTGAATCCTGCCCTCCAGAAACTATAGTTTCCAAATTTGGATGTAAACGAATTGCATTAACACGTTTCTGATTTCCTTTGAAAACGTTTTCAACGGTCTCCGTTTGAGAATTGAATAGAACGACAGCTTTGTCAATACCACCAGTTAATATCATATTTTGCTAAAAAAAAATTATTTGGTACTTTTCCGTTATCCGTTTAGGCCTATTTTAAGTGATTGACCACACCAAACCCTATTCCGAGTTTTTGACCATTCCGAGCCCTATTTCGAGTTTTTGATCACTCCGAACCTTATTTTGAGTTTTTGACCATTCCGAGCCCTATTTCGAGTTTTTGATTGTTTCGAGCACTTTCTGATTTTTTGACCATTTCGAGCCCCTATTTTAAGTTCTTGACCACTTCGAACCCTATTTCAGTTTTTACCATCTCGAACCCTGTTTTGAATTTTTGACGATTTCGAACCCAATTTCTACTTTTGACCATTTCAAGCCTTATTTTTAATTTTTGACCATTCCGAGTCCTTTTACTAGATTTTGACCATTTCGACTCTTATAATTTTTGAATATCTAGAGTCCTCGCCGAGTCTCCGAATCTATTCTGTCATAGTTCGGCGTAGTCCTTATTAAAATTATTCCCCGTCGAGATAACAGAAAAATACCTTTTATTTTTACTGAAAGGAAAATTTAAAAAAACCTGCAAATCCAAAGCAGTAATTCCCGGAACACTTGCACTATGCAAAGCATCGTGGCATTTAATTTCTTCATATCGTTTAACATCTTCAACAGATGCCAAGTCTTCAGGCAAATTTTTTCCTTTTTGTTTACGCGAAGAGGAAAATTCTTGGCTTTTTAATGTGAAGAACTGGAAAGAATAAAAAAGGTATATTATTGCAAATAAAATTTGATTGAATTTCAAGGGCGTAATCAGAATGTTTAGAGGAGGCTAAAAAAAGAAAGGTCCTTCAAAATATTCTCGGTCTTTCAAAAATTGAAAAATCATCTTCAGGCGGGTCATTTCTGTTGGAAAAACAGGATTTTATCAAAATAACGGGTTTTGGGCTAAGAGGTCTGGAAACACGGTCCTGGGTCCAGCATCGGGCGTTTTCCTCGCGGCTGACCATGGCCACGTTTTCCACTCAGAAAAGATTTTATCGAAAATACCCGGTTTCCGGGCTACAGACTGAAAATCAAGTTTCTGGTTATCACAACTATGAGATGCCGGGTCCGAAAACTCAAGTTTCTAGAACACCGAGCTTGCGAAATCAGACATGAGCCGATGCCAAACTCTAATAATTTAACCCCCCCCCTCAAAAAAACAAACCTCAATCAAATCCGTATCAATTCCAGGAAGCCCTTCTCCATCTTGATGCATCTCAACATCAGTAACTTCAACTTCACTTTCAACATTTTTGCCTCGTCCATGAGGTAATGTAGCAATAATATGACGAGTTTGTTGTAATTCACTACTCAGACGGTTGATAACACGACAGGCTGCATCATTCTAAAAATATTGAAATTTTGTTAAGAAAGACCTTTATATCCCACAATGTCTGTCTTAATTCACCGATACGCCTCTTACTCTACCAAATTCCTCAATATACCCTAGAATATCTCCGACTACACCGATACCCCCTCAAATCCCTTATATATCTCCAAATCTCCAATACCCTTTTTAATCCCCCAATATCCCTCTTACTCCCCCAAATAACTCAATATACCCTATAATGCCCCCAAATCCCACAATATCCCTTCAAATCCCTGATATCTTGCCAAATCCACCAATACCCTTTAATCTCTCATAAAAGAATAATTTTGGGCGGCATAGGCCTGCACTCAAATCTTTCTGTGGTCATTTTTTGCGGACAATTAATTCCAATTGTAAGGACAATTATTTTTCGGACAAATATATTTTTGCGGACATTTCTCGTGGACAAAAAATTTTCTGGAGATATTTTCAGAACAAAATTGAGACGAAAGAGACACCACCCCCGAATATTTACAAATCAAACACTCAAAATTAAACTTTAAAAAACCTGAAATAAAGCATGCGTCAATTCTTCTCTAACAGATTTGAGTTCTTGACGTAAAGTAAAAGTATTCAGCATCGTCGCGTCCCACTCGTCCTGCAATTGTTTAAGGAGAGATGGCAAAGATGCCGTGCCAAGCGAACTTAAAAACAAAAATTCAATTAAAAATAAAAGCAAAAACAAACAGTTGAATAGGTTTAGTGTCCTGATCTTGACTTAATTCGACGAGCTAAAATTAAAGTTAAAAAAATTTTTTTGGTACTATGCGATTATCCGCCGGCATTTCACAGACGATTTTTTGTGGACAAATTTTCTGCAAGCGATTTTTTTGCGGACTAATTTTTCTGCGGACGTTTTTTTGCGGACAAATGCTTCCCAAAAATTTGTATCAAAGCAAAAATGTAACTTGCATTAATCCACCATACGTCCACAAATGGAGGTGAGGAAAATTTACGTGTTTGGTATTTTATTTGCCTGACCTTTATTAATCTTTGAACAATTTTTGAACCTTATGAAAGGAGAAAAGATGGAGAAGGCAAGATAAACATTTGCGGACGAAAAAAATTTTAGGTACTATTTGAGGAATAACATTTTTTAATCATGATGAAAGGAGGAAGGAAAGATAGAGGAAAGACAAACATTTGCGGAAGGATATTTGCGGAGAAACCATTTGTAGACAAAACAGTTTTGCGGAGGCAAGATTTGCGGACAAATGCGTGATTTGCGGACAAACATTCTTGCGGACGGAGGCATGATTTGCGGACATTTTTGCGGATAAGTATTGGTATAATGCAATAGTACCATAAAAAGACAAGGTGTCCATATCCATATTTGACCATTTTGTAATTTTATAAAGGAAAGAAAAATGAAACTGCGAGCGGATAAACGAACAGAACCAATTAAAAAACCCCCAAAAAAATTAAAAAAAAAACCTGAGAAACTTCCAACTTTCCTCCATTAATTGGATCAGTACCATTTTCTTCAATATATTTCACGATCAAACGCTTTTCAAAAATTTTTCCAGAAACGGGTGACACAACAGGGACTTCAGGTTGTTGACCACAAATTGAACAAAGTAAAGTAGCCATTTTTAAAAATTTAAAAATAAAAATTTAAATAAAAATATTTAAAGAATAAAGAGAAATAAAAAATAAATACAAAATAAAAATTTGTCTAGCAACAAATTTAAACAAATAAAATCAAAAAAGTATATGGCCTTTTTAATCTTCATTAATTTTTAAAAAAATTTAAATATTTTATTTTTATTAGGGTTGGTCGACGATCTGTCAGGATCAAGTTTTTAGGGGAACGGAAATGTCAGGCAACAGAGATGACGGGAACGGGAATATCTCTTTTCAGGGAAGGGAGATATCAGGGAATGAATAAAAATCATCGTCGGGCGGTGACAGAGACCCAATAACCATAGCGGATGGAATCGGAGACCCGGGCCCATAGTCAGAGAAAGGACAAGAAAACAAAGACCATACAACGAGGGATGGATTGGGGAGCCAGGCCTATCGCCAAAGGGGACGGGAAATCGAGGACCCAAACCGGGGAGAAGGTGGGGGAGAGGGAATCGAAGACCTGAGTCCATAGCCAGAGGAGGAAGGGAAATCGGGGACCCAAACTCGTATCCAGAGAGGGGAGGGAAAACGGAGATCCAGGCCCTATCAGAAAGAGAATCGAGGACCAACCCCAAAATTTTTAAAACAAAAAAATGTTATTCACACAAAAAATAAACAAGAAAAAGAAGTGTGTCCAAAAAAATAAAACAAAAAAAAATTTATATATCACAAGAAAATGCGCTTGCCTTTTTTTAAATTTTGAGAAAGTTTGTCAAAAAATTGATTCAAAACTTTTACATAATGGGACAGATGGACTACGCCTTAAAGTTATTCTAGGCATAGTTTTGAGCAATTGGAGAAGTTCAGAAAATAATTTTCGATCCAAAGGGTTGAAAGACCAACAATACATGAGAAAAACCTAAAGAGAAGATTAAAAAGTAGAATTGTTAAAGACCAATTAATTTTCGCCTGTGACGGGACAAATGAGGAAAATTGAAGGACTTTATATCGTCAAAGGCGAAAATTAACTGTGTCGTGAATAACCTTATAAAAAATTATTAAGTATTTTAAGCAATTTTTTTGATAAAGATAGGAAATCTTGTAGGGATTTGGAGTTTCGGCATCAATCCATAGTTGGGTATTTTGGTGGATTTTGAAATTTGGTGTTTTGGCAGCATTTCTAGTTTGGTATTTCAGTGTTCTTTTGGGGGTTTAGAATTTAGGTGCCATTTCCAAAAGGCTTGGTATTTCGGTCCCATTTCCCCAAGACCCGAACATGGCATTTCCATGGTTATTCTCAAGAAAATAGAGAAAAAAATTAATTAAAAATGGATAACCTTAGCTTCATGACACATTTTGAGGTCAGTCAAAGGTGCTTTAATTCCAGATCCAATTTGCCATATGACAAAATCAAAAGGCATAGAATCAAAAGGAAATGTATTTGTTAACAACTCGTACCAGATTGTGCTGAAAACCAAACAAAATTTACAAAAAGTTAAAAATTTGAATTAGCCTAAAGGTATCAATAATAGCATCACTATAAAATAATCCAAAAAATGGGTAGTATCCTATAGCGAAATCACTTATTCCGGATCACGTCCAAAAAAATATATCCCAAAAAACAGACCCAAAAGAAAAAACATCAGAAGCTTCTGTAAACGTAACTGGATCAAAACGTTCATTTAACACTCTCAAAAGTTCTGGAGCTATATAACGAAGCCAATTGAACGGAACAACAAATGAATAATTTCTAAAAAAATTTTTTTTGTCAAAAATTTCTCTAAAATTCAAAAAAAAATAAAACCTGTTGGGATATGATAGCCTTTTTAAATTAAAAATTCCAAAATCTGTAATCTTTATTGACCGTCTTTCACTTACAAAAATATTTTTTGAACGTAAATCTTTATGCAAAATATGTCTGGTATGAAGGTATGACATTCCCTAGATAAAAAGAAATATAAAAAAGGGAAGAAATTCAAGTCAAGAATTTTTAAAATAAGATGTCCGAACTATCTGGGATCTAGCTACGAAGCCAAAAAAATTTGACAGAGGTCGGAAACAAATTTAGCTCGTCAAAATAGGTAATATTGAACCGGTCAGACCCTTTTTTCCTCCCCAATTTTCCCCATATATTTTTACAAAATGGTCAGTCTTTTTCCTTTCTTCCTTCCAAATTGCCTTTCTAATTTTTGCCTACAATCAAACAAAAAGGATGATTTTTGATTGATGGATGGAAGAAAATTGGATGGAAGAAAAGAAAAAGGCTGACCATTTTGTAAAAATATATGGGGAAAATTGTGGAGGAAAAAAGGGGTCTGTACGCTTCAACATTACCTCAAAATTTAATAAAATAAATCTAACAAGGTATTAGCAAAAAGTAAAACATTGGCTGCCTAAATTCGTGTCCGCAAACAAATTGCGGACAGCTCATGTGAATAATAGACCTAATTTAACACGGAACTTCTCGAGCTGTAGTTCATATTTTTCTACATCTTCGGTATAGAAAAGTACAAAATTCTGACGCAAAATACATGGGAGTCCTTTACAAACCAGTCCCCATTGAAAATTTTTCCTGGCTAAAGGCCCGTTCCCTAGTAAAATCCCAAAGCCTTTTTTACACAAAAATTTTTTTTCAAACCTGACAAATTTGTTTCGCATATTCAATAATATCATTAAAATCTATTGGGCGTCTATCATTGTCAGGATCATGCAAAATATCAAACAAAGTATCCCCTTTAATATATTCCATTACAATACCCAATTTTGACCGGTCAATTGTGTAAAAGCCTCGAAAAAAAATTAAATTTTCGTGTCGAACATTTTGAAAACAGGCAGTGTCTTGTTTGAAGACTTCTAAACGTTTGTGCACGTCAACATGATACATGTCAAAAAATTTGATTACTGCGGGCTCGTAGTAGTAAGCAGCGAAGACCTAAAAAATGCAACAAAAAATATGGAAAAGAATGAGGTGCTTTTAGCTTTATTTTCGAAAATGAAGGAAAACCGGTATGATCCACTAATACCGACAAGCTGAAATACCAAACCCCGAAAAGCCGAAATACCAAACTGTGAAAAAGGAGATGAAATACTAAATAACCCAACAGTCACTGAAATACCAAACTATATACTGATAATGAGCTAGAATCTAATGCCGGCTATCAAAACGTTAAAATGTCAAACTCTCAAAAACTATTTCTCAACAAATATCAGGTTTTCTCATAGCTAAAATGAGTTCAAATCTGCCCCCCTCCCCTCCACGAAATCGGAAAAAAAATATAAAAAATTTGAGGACAAAGAAAGGCACTTGGCGTAAAATTTTAAACAATAATTTCCCTGAAAAATCCCATTTATGAGAATGACAATAAAATTTTTTATAAAATCACAAACTTCTCCAAATCTTCCGCGCCCAATTGGTGATAGAACCTCGAGTTCACCATTAGGTATTGAGTCATCCTTCCAAGCTCTTAAAGTGAACATATTCCACGATCTTCTGTCAAATTTTTCTGTCCGTTGAACTTGAATTTCTTCAGAAACAACAATTGTAGTGGGCGATTCTTCATTGGCGTAAATATCGCTCATTGAATGAGAATTCCCAATTTCTGGGGCCCAATTGTCCTGAATTTTATTATTTGATAAAAGTTAGTAAAACAAGGAATTTTGAAAAAAATTGAGACCAGGGAGTGTAAAATGAATCTGGAGGCAGACAGGAGTGACCCGGGAATTAAAGATCAGACGGGAAACAAAACCGGAGGGAACAAGGAATTGAAAATTAGCCAGTAAACAAAACCGGACGGACAGCGGAATTTAAGATCGGCCGGGATGCTAAAACAGAGGAACCCGAGCATTTTAGATCGGTCTGGACACAAAACAAAACACCAGATCCAGGTTTTAAAACATCAGAAAAAGGGTCCAACATGATTTTAAGAAGGTCAGGACATAAAACAGAATCACAGAACCAGTTTTCACCTCATTCCTAAAAAACAAGGGAAAAGGAACGAGATCTGATTTAAAACGGTAGGGGTACGAAGCAAAATAACAGAACCAGTTTTCAATTTGGCATCCAAAAAATCAAGAAAAGGACACCTAGCCATAATTATAAGCGGTAAATAATAAACAAGAAACCTGAGTTTTAGAAATAACCATTTGGGTGACTAATTCCTTCAAGTGCTTCTGTGTTAAACCACAATTATCACGCACCCGTGAATTCTTTTTACATTCAATATGTACCGACAACCTTAAAATCACGTTCAAAAATAAAAAATAAATCCAACAAACTTGCAACTTTGACATTTTTCATATTGCAACAAAAATCCTAGCGAATTTAAACAAACTGCACATTTTCGTTTATTTGGCTGTTTACAACGTTTAGTGACCCAAACATGAGGGATTTGATGTGCTCTTACTCTTCCTTGCATTCATACGTCTGAAAATCGGACAAAAATTTAATAAAAAAATCAAAGCAAAAAAAAAACAAAAAAAATGAAAAAATTTCTAAAAAACCCCAAGCCAAAAGAAAATGACATTTTATCCCAATTAACTATCACACATTTTGCCAAACACATATTTTGCCAATTAGGGTAAAAATTTACATTTTGACAACAAACTTATTGGCAAAATGTAAATTTTTAGCCTTATTGGCTAAATATGATTTTGGCAAAATATGTGGAAGCCGAAAATATAATTTATTTTTTTCTCTAAATTTTACAATCTCTCGCTTTTTCTATTCATCTCTAACGTTTTTCTTTACACATAACATCAAATGCCAGTTCGTCCAATTGAACAAAAACTTCCAATTCGTCTCTTAATTAGAGAAATTTTTTTCTCTAAATTTTACAATCTCTCGGGTTTTTTATTCATCTCTAACATTTTTCTTCACGGGGCTCCCCTACAAAGGATAGATGAATTAAAGGATAGATGCGCTAAAGGATAGATACGGCCAAAAACTATCAAAGGATAGATGCATCAAAGGATAGATGCACTAAAGGATAGATACGGCCAAAAGCGATCAAAGGATAGACAGCTGAATAGGTCGTTTGAGTCTGGACAAAAATGTTTAATAATCTGAATCTTCGCTGGAAAAACTGTTTTTGTGCTGCTACGGAGGGTAGGCCGGGCATGGTCTTCGCTACACGATGGCCGTGCTTCGCTGCGGTCGTGCTCGCTTCGCTCGCGGCGACCGTAGCGAAGCGGCGGCCGTCGTTCCGCTCGACATGCCCGGCTTCATCCGCAGCGGCAAAAACTTTTTTCCGCGAATATACTAAAGTACAAATAAAATAAAAATCAGAACAGAAACATGAAATCAGAACAAAGATCTGAAAAAAACAAACAAAGATCAGGCACTCAACAGTTGGTACTCAACTGGACTCCAAACTTTATCTATGTTTTACCCAATTTTAGACGTGTCTATACTTTAATGGATTCTACCCCTATCTATCCTTTGGCGCATCTATCCTTTGATGCATCTATCCTTTAATTGTTTTTTGCCTTATCTATCCTTTAGCAGCTTTTGGCCGCGTCTATCCTTTGATCGATTTTAGCCGTATCTATCCTTTGATTCATCTATCCTTTGAGCGGGCACGCTTCACGGGAGCAGGCCAGTATACCGCGAGCCCAGTATACCGCCGAACCATAACTTTGTTTAAAATTGTCGAATCCGGGACACCCTGGTATGTTCCGATTCAGCTCGTTGAGGCGCATCGAACTATACCAGGGCCTCCCGGATTCGACAATAATGAATGAAGTTATAGCTCGGCGGTATACTGGGCTCGCGGTATAACGGGGTGTACCCTTTCTTCACACATAACAACAAATACCAATCTCTCGCTTTTTTTATTCCATGTCCAATGCTTAGGACATTTTCGTCAGAGGGTTGTTTCGTCAAATATAAGTTTCGTCAGAGGCCATTTTCGTCAATAAGGCTCCCTTTTTAAAAATTAAATTAAACGGCGGTATTGTGACTTATACTAGGTTATTTGGGATATCCGAAAGTTTTCCAGGAATCAACAACACTATCCGGGATTGCAAAAAAAATTTTTTTCATTTTTCAGAGAACTTTACGTATTTCTTCGTAGTTTTTAATTTATTAGCAATATGGGTATTGTAGAAAAAATTCAAGAAATTGAGCGTGAAATAGGGCGGACACAGAAGAATAAAGCTACAGGTTTAATTTAAAATTTTTGATTTTATTTTATTTTCTAGAGTATCACTTGGGCGTTCTCAAAGCAAAATTGGCCAAATACCGACAGGAGTTGTTAGAGCCTTCTGCAAAAGGTGGAGGTTCTAAAGGAGAAGGTTTCGATGTTATGAAGAGTGGAGATGCTAGAGGTTATTTTTCTTTGAGTTTTTTAGAGTGAGGAACCAAAGGGGGATATTTTGGGGTTTGGCAAACATTTTGGCAACATGTTTTGGTTTTTGACCAACATTTTTGTCTTCCCCAGAGTTCCTCTTATATCCATTCCATTATCCAAAAAATATTTAATTTTGGAAGAAAGGAAAATATGTTGGAGATTAACCGAAATTATTATCGAACGGATAGCAATCCCAATTGTCCAACATTCTTTCTCATGAAGCTTTCCTATTTGCTTTGGTATCCCATAAAAGTTTTAAGTTAGTGTAAATATGTAGAAGCTGAATTATTACTGGCCGGTTTGTCTTACTCCCAGAAGTCCTCATCTTTCGGAGGAAAGGAAAGACAGCAGTTGAAAGATATTACCTTACCGGTAACTTTCCAAAAATTTTTTTCATTTTAGTAGCACTTATTGGATTCCCTTCCGTTGGAAAGTCAACATTTTTGTCTACCGTTACCACTACAGGTTTAAAAACTCCAAATTTTTTACAATTTATTATAATTTAAGAAAGCGTGGCAGCCTCATAGTGAGTACCTTTTGATGGATTTTAACATTTTTTAATTAAAGTGAATTTACAACATTGACTTGCATTCCTGGCGTTATCGAGGTTTGTTTTTTCATTTAATTGAGGGTTATCCCAAATCAGTCCTTGCTGACATATTTATGCGGACTCATAATGGTCAATATAACAAATCATTCAACCCCCACCATTTCTCCCAAATGTCCGCAGAAAATCGTCCGTAAAAAATTTGTCCGCAAAAAATGTCTGCAAAAACGGTTTGCAAGAAGACGTCCGCAAAACTTTCACGGGTACATTGAATATAGAAACGGGGTGGGGGTATGGATGCTCTGACCATTATGAGACCATTATGATTGAGTCCGCATAAATAGATTTTCAAAAACTGGTTTGGGATAACCCACAAATACCTCTTTTCCTTTTTCTAAAAATTAAATTTTTCCAGTATAACGGCGCAAACATTCAATTACTCGATCTTCCCGGAATTATTGAAGGCGCTTCTCAAGGAAAAGGCCGTGGAAGGCAAGTTATTGCTGTTGCTAAAACTGCCGATTTAATTTTGATGATGCTGGATGCTACAAAGGGGGACATTCAGGTTTAAATTTCATTAAAAGCAAAACACTACTGAAGCCGGGACTGTCGTTTCTTGGGGAAGTTTTCAACTTTAAACTGTGCAAAATTTAAAAAAATGCCGTAAAAAGTATTCGCAAAACTAAAAATTGTCAGTAAAACTTTTTGTGGAAAATTTTGGTTTTGCGGACACTTTGAAAATTGAAGATATCCGCAAAAACTGTCCGCAAAGTTAGAAATGTCCGCAAAACTTTTTTGGACAATTTTAAATTTGTGGACACTTTTAAAAATTTGAAAATGTCCGCAAAACCAAAATTGTCCGCAAAACCAAAATTGTGCGCAAAAAATGTCCGCATAAATTTCGATCCTTTTTTAGTAGTTCCAACTTCAAAACTGATAATTTTTTACTCAAAAAATATATTTTTTAGAGAGGACTTCTCGAAAAAGAATTGGAAGCTGTTGGTATTCGTCTCAACAAAAAGCGTCCAAATATTTATTTTAAAAGAAAGGCTGGAGGAGGTGTTAAATTCACCCACACAGTTCCACTGACTTTTTGTGATGAAAAAATGATTCAATCAATTTTGCATGAATACAAAATATTTAATGCGGATATTATCTTTAGAGAAAATAGCACGTTTGTCTTTTTTTTTTGGAATTTTTAAAAATTTATTTTAAATTTTATTTTTAAGGGTTGACGAGTTAATTGACATTATACAAGGCAACAGAGTTTATATTCCATGTAAAGTTTTTTAATATTATTTTTTATAAGTTTTAAGATAACCCAGAAACCTCACACCCAAAACAGGAGTGTGTCGTTTCGCCTTTCGCTTCTTAATATAGTCTCACCCCTGGCCCAAACTAACAATAAGTAGATAGCTTTAATTTAAAACTTTTTGAAATTTGGTTGACCATTGATGATATTTTCTATTAGGCTTGTAACCAGGATTTCTTTAGGGGGTGGAGCCTCAGGCCAAAACATTCACTTTTTTCAGCTAAATAACGGGGGATGTTGTTCCAACAGTGGCTTTTGAGGGTTTTGTAGTTAACTGCATCACACCGCTTTAAGGCATACCGCTGTCTTATAAGGTTTTAAGGCTACGAACGTTACTTTCTATTTAATATCAATTTAATTTTTACTTTGACTGCCATTTATTAGAGGACCCTCGACTTCTGCGCGAAGTGATATCTGTTCTTGTAAAATGAGTTTTAAGGAAGTTATAAGCGTTCAGTCGATAGTAGAAGAGTATATGACGTAAAAGAGAGAAAAGAGCGAATTTTCTTTGTTGTAGTAAAGGGGTTGGAGCGCGCCGTTATACCAAACGCCGAAATACCAAACTTCCTAGGAGAATTACGGAGAAGGTCGTCCAAATAACGGGGGATTTTGTTTTAACAGTGGCTTTTTGGGGGTTTGGTAGTTTGGGTTAGTATAACTGCATCACACCGCTTTAAGACATACTGCTATCTTATAAGGAGGATAAAAATTACATTTTTTAGGTCTATATGTTTACAACAAAATTGACCAAATTTGTATAGAGGAAATGGATACTTTAGCTAGAAGTTCCCCCCATAATGTTGTTGTTAGCTGCGAATTAAATTTAAATTTGGATTATATGTTGAAAAGAATATGGGAATATTTGGCATTAATTAGAATTTATACTAAAAAGCCTGGAAGTCCTCCTGATCTTGGTTATTTTTAAATTTTTTTTATAAATTCCTTTTGGGAGGAATTGTTTATAATGGGGTATTTTTAAGTATTTTTTTTCGGATTTATATCAGTTTACGGACTTTTCTGCAAACTGCAGATTTTTATGTTGATTTTTTACAGACGATTTTAGGAGGGTTTTTGCAGTCGTTTCTTTTTTTTTTTGCAGATTTTTTGCGGATTTTTCGCTTACTTTTGCGGATATTTTTTTTTTCGAAGTTTTTGAGTATCTTTTTTTCTTGGATTTTTTGCGGAGATTTTTTCGCGGAGATTTTTTCGCGGTCTTTCTTTGCAGACTTGGAAAATTTCAGAGTTTTGGGCCTTAAAATATAGCCCATAAAAATGACAAGCTTCTTACCCATCAACTTTAACGAAAATTTATTTTTAAAGGCCCGGAAGATGGAATTATTTTGCGTGGTTCTTCAACTGTTGTATGTCTTTATTTTCTTGTAAAATCAATTTTTTAAATAAAAATTTCCAAAGGAACATGCTTGCCATGCTTTACACAGAACATTAGCTCAAGCATTTCGTTATGCAATTGTTTGGGGGACTTCTACTAAATTTTCTCCGCAAAGAGTTGGAATACAACATAAATTGCACCATGAAGATGTTATACAAATTGTTAAAAAGAATTAAAGTATATTTTTTTATAAATATTTTAGGGTTGTTGGCACTGAAATGTCCGCAAAAAATTTGCGGACTTTCTGCAAATTTTTTGCGGACTTTTTTTGCAGACGTTTTTTTGCGGACATTTTTTGTTGGCGATTAGGGGTGAGCGCATTGCGTTTTGCGTTATTTGCGTTAAATTTTGGCGTTGCGTTTTGCGTTTTTTGATATTGTCTCTTGCACTCATCCCTGTTGGCGACTTGTTATTTACCCTGCCCCTCGGTTTTTGGTTAATCTAAATTTAAGAAACCCTCAGGGGTTGTGGTTATTTTGCAGAACTTTTTGGCAGACGATTTTTTCGGATTATTCAGAAATGGTTGTAATTTTTGATAAAAAATATATGATTTTTTCGGCTCCAAAACTTGTCGTCAACAACATTAATTTACCATAAATGTTCTAATAGAAAGCCCCGATGTTTTATTTTTCAGTGTGTTTTAGTGGCCTTTTAATAGAAGCACGGACTTTTATTTAAGAAGGTTTCTATTGGAAGACTTTGAAAAGTCCGCAAAAAATCTGCGGACATTTCTGCAAAAATTTTGCGGACTTTTTTTTTAATTTTTTTGGTTAATTCAAAATTTACCCTTTTGAGCACTTTTTGTTGATTGATAAATTATATTGTATGATAAATATATTTATTAAAAAATTTTTTTTGTGATTTTTGGCCTTTTAATGGCCTTTTATATTTTTTAAAAATTAAAAAAATTAATTTTTAGAAAGATTTAGGGATTAATGCTCACTTTAAACTTTTCAAAAAATTTTGTTGGAGAAGCAAGAGAGAAAAAATTGTTGCTTGAATGTATTTACAATTTAAAACGCCAAAAACATTGTAGTAAAAGAACATTTTTTATCAATCAATGGAGGTCATTTAAGCGTTGGCAAGAAGTTGAGCATCACAACAAGGAATATTTTGAATGGAAGTATAGAATGGAAAATTATATAAAAATGGATGGGGTTAGTTGTGGTTTTTTTGGTGTTTTTAGGGAGGGTTTTAAGGTTCATCTAAGCCTTGTTGATTTATGTTTGCAGACCTTTTGCGGACTTTCGGATTTATTTTTGCGGATTTTTCGATAATGATTTTATTGTCTCTTTTCGACTTTGAGGTTTGCGGACTTTCCTTTTGTGGGCTTTTTTGCGGGGTTTTATGGATTTTTTTCGGGCTTTTTGCGGACTTTTTACTGACATTTTTTGCGGATTTCTGATTTTTGCGGACTTGTTTTTTTTCGGACTTTCTTTTGCGGATTTTTTACGGTATTTTCTTGCGGATTTTTTTTTTGCGGACTTTCTGATTTTTTGCGGATTTTTTGAGAACTTTCTGATTTTTCCGCATTTTTTGCGGATTTTCTATTTTTGCGGATTTCTTTGCAGGATTTATTTTAGCTGACATTTTTCGCGGATTTTTTAATAAAATTTTATTTTCCAATTTTAGATGTATTTAACACCCGAACGATCTCAAGATGGTAATTTATCTATCATTTTATATTTTTTCAAATCTTTCTTTTTTAAAGTTATGCCCAAAAAAGCAATTCAAGATCAAGATCAGTGGATGTTAGGCACTTTTCCTACTCAATACCATATTGCAATGAAACAACTGGTAAGGGTTTTTTTGAGAATTTTAAAATAATTTTTGTTTGAACAATTTTAAGTTTATGAAATTTTGCGGACTTTTGCGGACTTTTTGAATTTTTGCAGACTTTTTTGCGGATTTTCTGTTCTGCAGATTTTCAAATTTTTTTCTTGACATTTTTTTGTATTTTCGACTTTCTCGTGGATTTTGGGATATTCACGGGCTTTTTGCGGATTTTCGGATTTTTGCGGATTTTTCTTATTTTTTTGCAGACTTTTCCCTGATTTCTTAACATTTTTCCTTACATTTTTAGCGATATGTTGACCATAGTTTTGACAATCTTCGTCGTTGTAGGGACTATAGACACTTTCAACGGCTTCAATTTGATCAGAGGTTAACCTTTCTAGAATTCAAGTTTAATCTACAATTTCTACAGATTTTTGCCCGAACGTTTGTTGTTTTTGGGCCCTGATTTGGCTGCTGCTCATTTTATTGTTCACAGGTTTTTTTTAGCTTGTCAACACTTGCGGACTGACATTTTCGGACAAAAAAGTTTATTTACTTTGGAGCAAATGGCATTTTATTCGTTTGGTATTTCTGCGGCTTTTTGGGGTTGTTTGGCACCTCTGCGGCTTTTCGAGGTGGGGAGGGGGGATACCATTTTGGCGTCATCCTATTTTGGAATTACGTCGAACTGCGGGAAAACTGACTTCAAGAGCCTTACAAGGAAACATCCCGAACTGTATGTGAAAATTTTATATTTCTTTTTGCACCATTGTGTAGAGCAGGGTCGAAAACCTATTGTTAGTTTTGGGCTTTTTCCCCCTGACTCCCATTTCGAAAAGTTATAGGAGTTTAAAATTAGACCGCTTGAGTGTACTTGTACAACTTATTAAAGAGAAAAATGAAAGATGTTTAATTGGTGTCCGCAAATATTTGTCCGCAAATTCGTCCGCAAATGTGACTTTTTCGTCCGCAAATGTCAGTCCGCATTGTCCGCAAATTTAATGTGAATGTCCGCAAGTGTCGTTTTTAATTAAATCGTTAAATTTTATTATTTTTCAAGAAATGGCTCCGTTAAATTCATGGAAGATCCAAATTGGTATAAACGTGAGGGAAAGCTTAGGAGGTATGCATTACCGGGAAAAAAGGTTGATGGAATGTATATTGAGGCGATTGATGCATCTGGGACAGAATTAATGTTTGAAGGTTTTTTTAATTAAGAATTTTTTTTTGAAAAATCCGCAAAAAATTTTACGGAAAATCCGCAAAATTTTTGCGGATTAAAATTTTTCAATTTTTCGAAATTTTTTTCCTCAAGGTTTTGATAATTTATACGACTTGGAATTCCTTCGCCTTCTAAGTTTAAAAAACTGTCAGTATGTGGATGATTGGGTTTTGAGTCGAATTGGAGGAATGTTTTCAAATTCATTGGAAATGCTGGATTTGAGTAATTGTAAACGAATTTCTGCGAAAGGTTTTTTGTTATTAGTAACATTTTGTATTGCCAACCCTCCAAAAGCTGGCGAGATGCCAAGCAATGAAAGTAGCCTCGAAGCTCGAAATTTTTTTGTTTCGTGTTTCGTAGATTTTTGTGAACTCCAAAAAGGGACGAACTGCCAAGAAGACAACCGGTGGATGTTCTTCCATCAGAATATCCGCGGTAAATCTGTTTTTGTGTTGACAAAATAACACAACATCCTCTGTTTTTGGAACAACATGTTGGCATTTCGTCAGCGTTTGAGGGTTTGGCATTTCATTGTTTTGACATTACAAGGCATTCATTTTTTTTAATAATTTTTTTTTAAATTTTTAAAGGGCTTGTTGGATTACGCTCATTAACAAAATTACGCTTTTTAAGGCTTGATGGGCTTGAAAATATTGAAGGAATTGAGAAAAGTGCTTTAATGTTGGAAGATGCAATTCCTGATTTGGTCATAACTGGGCTTGGTATATTTATTTTATAGAATTTTATTTTCTTTAATGTGAAATGTCAAAATTAGGGTTCAATTTTATGCGGCGGAAACCGTTTTTTCGTGCAACAGGGGATGCGGGGGGAAGGGTATTGCGGGAAATTTGGGGAACGGGGACGGGCTCTTCCTGCGAGCTTCTCCTTGGAGGATTCCCCAAGGATTTAATAAATGTTTAATTTTTCTACGAGAATCAAGGAATTCACAACTTTTCTGGGAAAAAATTTTCGAAAATATTCTTGAAAAATCTAATCGTTAGATTTTTTAGATTATGACAAGGCATTATCTCAACTCGAGGAGGAAGAAAAGCTTCTTAGACACGATCGAATAGTTTTGGATGCTAAAGGTTTTTTTAAAAATATTTTCTGGTTAAAATCTCAATTTTAAGGGAACGCATTCATTGAAGATGACAATGGACGATTTTTCTATGTTAAAGGCTCGGTTAATGAAAGGGTTGCGGTCTGTGATCAGGACAAACCTTTGGTGACTTCAGTGATAAGAAGAGAACTTCCAGCTATGGACACTGAAGAATTTGAGGATTTGGATGATTTGGCTAAAGGTTTTTTTGGGAAAATTTTTTTTTGAAATTTTTTAAAATTTTTTGTGAAAATTTATTTGAATTTTTAGAAATTTTTTGTGAAAATTTTCCTAAATTTTGTAAAGAAAATTTTTTTTGAATTTTTGGAGAATTTTTGAAAAAAATTTTCGAATTTCTTTATTTTCTTTTTTTAAATTTTTTTGAGAATTTTTTTAGTTTATTTTTCAAAATACTCTCATTCGAAGAAAATTAATTTTTTTTGTGAATAGTTTTTTTAATTTTTTTTGAAATTTATTGAAATTAAAAAAAATTTTTTTTTTAATTTTTTGAAATTTTCCTCTTTTAAGGAAAATTACGCCATTTTCTTGTTGGGTCACCTAGTGGATATTCATGGACAGAACAAGTTTATTCCCTTAAAAAAATTTTTTCCAACCTCCAATTTAAGGTAGAAACAATATTAACACACGAAGAAGGCTGGAGACATTGGGAAGGCATACCTACAGAAATAAAAATGTTACCAAAATATAAAAGAGTTGCCCTTTTAGAGGCTAGACGACAAAATAAATTGTTAAATAATGGAGAATTAATGTTGGAATTAACGAAAGATTCGGGGCAAGAACAAATTGAAGGTGGGGAAATGGACAAACAACAACAAATTGTTTGTGGGTGAAAAAAATTTTTTAGGAATTTTTTTGTATTTTATTAGATTAATCGTGTTATTAAAGAGAGGGATGCTCTTTCTGCGGATTTTTTTCATTTTTTCTTAAATAAGGTTCACAGAAAAGTCCGCAAATTTTGAAAAAGTCTGTAAATCTAGTTAAGTCCGCAAATCGATAGGAAAAGTCCGCAAATTGTGTGAAAGTTCGTAAATTGATAAGAAAAGTCCGCAAATATTTAGAAAGTCCGAAAATCTGGAAAAAGTCCGCAAAATGATAAAAATCCGCAAATTGATAAGAAATGCCCGCAAATTGAAAAAGTCCGCAGGAAAAGCACCTTTTATTTTTTTGTTTAATTCCATTTTACAATAAAAAAATTTAATTAAAAAGGCTCATTTAGGTCAGAGATCATTTTTAAATTATTCTTCACACGTTCCACAAGTTCTTTTACAAAAAAGCATTCCCGTAAGTCCTGGGCAGTGTTCCAAGCTTAAGTTTTCGCATACTGGGCTTTCATCCTTGCATTCCGTCTCTTCCGTTATTCTACTTGAAGGCTTAATTTCCTCTTCTGCTTTAGCCTTTGGGCATTGGCCACACGAAAAAGGACAAATTTCTGTTCGAAGTTTTTCCCATTTTGCGCAATATTTAAATATTGGCAAGGACCTTTATTTTTTTAATTAAAAAATTTTTTTTTGCTCAAACCAAAAAATGCAACGCCAATTTTTATCTTCACAACCATTGTTCTCCGCTTCATCCCCTCCAATAATTAATGAAGATGACATTTCCTTTATAAAATTTACCGTATTTTCTGTATTAGACCTCTGTATGAATTAGAGCCCTCTCTCCTTTGAAGGCTGGATTAAAATACAACACCCCCCCTCCAGTGTGAATTAGAGCCCCTATGTAATAAAGCCCTCCTCCCTTTTGGAGGATGGGTGACAACTACAGCCCCATTTAATAAAGTCCTCTTTGGAGGTCCCCTTTAATAAAGCCCCCTTCTGAATTAGAATTCCATCCCTCTCTTCCTCCTTAATAATGTATCCATTATTAAAGGATACAGGCCCTGCCATCCTCCTAAGATGGCTGGGCCCTCCTTAGGAGGATGGGAGAGCCTCTCAAGAGGTTGGATGATGTCTCCTATCTAATAAAGCCTCTTTATGGGAAATTGAAAAATAGAGGTCCTATTGGGCTCTATTACAGAAAATACCTTACTCATTTTTTTAAATATTTTTATTTAAAGCAAAAAATGCAACAAAAAATATATTAGCTCGGCAGCAAAACAAAAATAAGATGTAAAGCAAAATAAGTGACCCGCTTCTTCCTTATCTTCTTTTAAAATTTCATCTTCCTCCTCTTCGCCACTTTGGCACCCAAAATCCTCGTATATTTGTTGAAGGCTTCTGTTTATTTTAAAATTATACCGTCGAACCTCGTTATACCCCTCGGTATACCCCTTAGGGCTGAAAATTATTTACCTTATAATGTGGGGTACCATAAATAGTGGGTCTCTTATAATGAGGGCTATCTTAAAGAGGGTATTCCACTAAAACGTTTCCAGTGGCCAACTAAATTTTTACAAAGGCGTATCCTAACTTGTGGAATATTTTGGGTACATCCAATAGTCATATACAAATAGTCTATTATCCAAAATATGTAGGTATATCCAAAGTCGACTGTTTTGATTTTTGAAAAAAAGCAAATAAGATAGTTAAGCTACTAAAGCAATGCTAATGCGACTTGAAATTTTTTTTAAAATCTCCTCGTTCTAACCTGCGCTAATGGCCTATTACTGGAAACTGTATTAAGGCTATTCCGACGAGTATTGAGCATGTCACACTGATATAATTTGTTAATTTTTCGAAGATCTATTTCACTAAAAAATTTTTTTAGGAGATTTTTGAAGATTAAAAAAATTTTTTGGACCTAAAAGCAATTCTCTGCCCCATTTTATGAGAACCTGCCCTTCTTGGAACTATTGTACGCTTTCCGTTTGCTGAGAATGCATATGCACCATAATGCATTATACCTTAAATTTATATAAAGTTGTTTGATTTTTAAAGCTTACTCCCATAATCGTAAGGCTCTCCAAGCTGAAAAGTTAGAATTTATTTTTTTTCCGGAAGCATTATTTCTTCCCTGAAACTTGAACTTTTCGGACATTCAGGGATCGTTCAGAAATTTACGGACATTTCCGAAAATTTATTATTTCACCATTTTCTTTCCGGATTTCTGCTTTGTAAATTTATTTCGTTTCCGGAAACATTTCATTAAACTTTGAATCCTTCCTGGGAAACTTTTACGGAAAATTGTAATTTTATTATTCTTTCCGGAAATTTTTAACTCCACTTCTTTAAAACTTGCCTGATCAATAGTATTAAAGCCATACTTTTCAAATTGGTCATCAGCCCCTCGGAGCACATTAGACCAAAGGATCTAGGCTAGCAAATATTTAACTTTTAGAAAATTTCTCAAAATTGTTTTAACCTGAATGTATTGGTCCCTGTCATGTCTAGACTGTTCGTGGAAAAATCCAACAGCGTGCATTAATTCGTGCACAACCGTTCCGACCTTTAAGGATTTATTTAAAATAATTCCGAATTAATTAATGCCTGAATGCAACCGCTATCCAAACTTAGGGGTTGTTTACCGCCTGTTCTGCCAACCAAGGAATAACAACCGTCTTATTAAAAAATTTCTGATTTTTTAGACAATTATACAGGCGAACCTCATTTTTAGACACCCCTTGGGATAAAAAATTGTACGTTATAATATGGGGTATCCTTAAATAGGGAGTATCGCTTAGCTCCTAACCGTAAAATACGTCGCTTAAAAATATTTCCGGAAGGTTTAGAATATTTTGTTTCTTTTCCGGAATATGTAATATACATAATATTTTCCGGAAATATATATTTTATGTTCTGGAGATTATATATTATACATATTTTCCTGAAGGATTCAAAGTATATTTGTTTTATTTTCCGGAATATAACCTAATATTTTCCGGAAAGTTTCGAATACATATTATATTTTCCGGAATATTTAATTTATATACTATTTTCCGGAAATCATACATATTTCCGGAAGGTTTAGAACACTTAATCTATTTTCCGGAATATATCCTAATTAGAGTTGTACCCCGACCCCGTACCCCGAACCCCGACCCCGTTCCCGAACGATTTTTTCACGATTCTCCCCGACCCGAACCCCGCCCCGAAAAAAAGTGAAAACCCCGTTCCCCGGCCCAAAAAGTTTCGGGGTTTCGGGGTTTTATACCCCTAAAAAATGTCATTTTTTGGAGAAATTAATGAAGAAAATTAAAAAAATTTCCACCCATTTTACTTTGCTTTTATTATTCTTGAAAGAAAAATGAATGAAATATCACAATTTTCTTTCCTTCTTTATTAAGAGACTTGTGGTTGAGTGGCTTAGTCGTTGGTTTTAGCAGATATTTCATTAATATAGGATTGGGTTTGGATCCATATAAGGAGAACTATTTTGTTTTTATATTTCTTTACAAAAACATATTATTAACGAGTTAAATTTTAATTTTAAAATATTAATTTTATTTTTAACTGATATCCCTTGAACGAACCTTAATCCTTCAAACCCCTTGTATCACCAGTAAGGGGTTCCCAACCATAACTATCGAGGTCCTGTTAACGTGAATCAGAGATATAAAGGGATCTGTAGGATATCGAAGAATTAAGGAGTTAAAGGGATTCAAAGGGATCTAAGGTTTAAATTAAAATGGATTTGAAAGTATTACGCGAATTTAACGGATATATGTAGATGAATTACCATGATTTCGTGGGAGATTTAAGGATTAATTGAAGATATATCCCGATATCCGTCCAAATACTCTTATCCGCAATACATCAAATCCTTATAAATCACTAATATCCCTTGAACCAACAAAAATCACTCCAGATCACCTTGTATCCCTAGATATACCATTTAATCCCTAAAAATCCCACTTAATCCCTCCAGATCCACTTATATCCCAAGTTATGCACTTTAATCCCTTCAAATCCCCTCTAATTTCTCCAAATCCTACTTAATTTTTGAATAAATTAGCGAAAATATATCGATTTATAATTATTTTTGAGCATTTTTTTCTCTAAAAATTTTTCCACTAAACCCCCGTACCCCGACCCGAACCCCGGCCATATTTTGCTCCCCCGACCCGAACCCCGCCCCGAAACAATTGTAAAACCCCGTACCCCGACATACCCGCCCCCGAGCGTTCGGGGTACAACCCTAATCCTAATATGTATTTTTCGGAAAGTTTAATCACCATTTTTAAAAAATGAGGTTCGCCTTTAATTTACTTTTACCATCTGGGTGAATATATACATAATCTCGATGTCTTCTAAGGTCTCTTGGCACAAATCTACGGGTACAAATTTAGAAAATTCTTTAAAAAATTTAAAAAAATTTTTAAGTCTACCTAACACAGGTTTTCGAATGATACTAAAAATTATTTTTTAAGAAAAAATTTATTTTTTTACTTCATCCATAGCTTTAGCAATAACTGAACGAGAATAAGCGCCGTATTGGGAACTTTAAATTAATTTAAGTTTTTTTCAAATTTAAAAACCTTAAAGCATATGGAATTTCATTTCGAGGCCATCTCCTGTAGGGCTGTCTAATTGAATTCCTTGCAAGTCCGTTGGCGTCAAATTGTGGACGGAGAGAGGGTGGTAGTTCTGCTATATCGCCTCTATTACGAGTGCCGAGTGTTGGGTCTTTTTTTAAATTGTTTTTGGTATTTTATTTTATATATTTTCCGGAAGGGTTTGAGTAATACATTTTATTTTCCGGAATGTTTAATATGATAACTATTTTCCGGAAATATATTTTTTAGAATCCGTTTATACACATTTTCCGGAAGGTTTTATATTTTTAGTTATTTTCCGGATTATATTCCATCATTTCCGGAAATATATTCTTAAATACATTTCCACAGTATTTTCCGGAAGGTTTAAATACATTTATTTTATTTTCCGGAATCTATTTCATTTCCGGAAATATATTTTCAGAACCTATTCATATTTTCCGGAAAGGCTTGAATATATTTAATTATATTTTATTTTCCGGAATATTTATTACTTATCTATTCTTCCGGAAATTCTCCATACTCTACATATTTATAATAGTATTTTCCGGAAAGTTACGAATACATTTTTTCCGGAAATATATAGCCTGAAAAATTTATTTCTTTTTCAATAGTTTATTTAATTTTATATATTTTCCGGAAAGTTTCAAATATTTATTTTATTTTCCGAAAATTTACTCACTACCTACCCGTCTCCACCCTTATCCCCAGTTCTCTCAAGTCCACTTCCCTTTCCGGCATGTTTTCCAAATCCTGGGCTGAAAGGAAAGTTTCTGCTGCCTTAACCGTTTTATCAACAATATCATGCCGGGAATACAAAGAAAATTGTTGTTGTTGAGCCAATACCCGTTGAATAATAAATAGGAATAATAGGCGATTTGGGGAGAGTAGGGGGGAGTTTATGAGGTAATTGAGGAAGGGAAGCATTAAAAAAATTTTTCTTACTTTTTTCCCTTTTTTTTTTAAAATTAAGTAAAAAAGTCAAAAAATTGGATAAATAAAAAAATAATTTTTTCCCCTCTTCAATTGTTTTGATTGTCCTATAAACGATTGTTCAAATATCGGTGACGGTCACTGCCAATTGCTCAATGACCCTTCATCCCGGCCTAGAGAGTAAGAGGCCGTGAAAATATTTGGATGCGCAGGTGGCTAGCACGGATCGGGTGGGTGTTGGATTATTTTTTGGGATGGGTGGAAGGAAATAAATTGAGAGGGAAGAGAACAAAGGGTGATTTAATATATGAGAGGTGATTTTTATTTGTTGAACCTCGGTTTTAGATACTCCCAATACTAGAACCTCCTAATTTAATGTACACCCAATACTGGGATTTCCCAGTGCCAGAACCTCGTTTTTAGATACACCCAATACTAGAACCTTTCAATTTAAAATACACCCAATACTAGAACCTCCCAATTCAAGATACATCCAATACTAAAACCTCGTTTTTAGTTACACCCAATACTAGGACCTCTCAATTTAAGATACGTCTTAAAATTTTTGTTGGTATAGGGTGTGGGAGCTGCCAGAACGATAACCTCTATTTAAGGTACCCCTCGTTATAAAATACCCCTCATCAACCGATACCCTCTATTGCATATACGCTCATTATAAGGTATGATTTTTTAGCTCTAAGAGGTATCTTTTAGTAAGGTTCGACTATTTTTAGGAAGGTTTTTTAAATTTATATTTCTCCTTTTTAAGTAAAAATGGTGTTAAAAAGACGGAAATGATCAAAAAAAGTGTTGGAACAAAAATAGAAACAAAAATAAATTTAGGTTCAATTTTTAATTGGCCAAGTTGTCTGAAAGCATAAAAGAGAATGAGTTGTTCTACTAAGCAATTTTCCTTTCTCAACTCCTCCCGGCATTATTTCCGTCTATTTATTGTTGCATTATTTGTCGGACCCTCCTTTTTTGAGTTCATTTTCAAGTGTTTTTTCGGGTTTGAGTTTTAATAATTCTTTTCTATAGGCAAAGGAAGCGTTGCAAAACCTATTGAGATTACCCAAATTAAAAAAAAAGTGAAAGTAAATTAATTTTTAAATTATTTTGGTCAGAAAAAAATCAGAAATATCAGAAAAACTAAATTTAGCCATTTTTTATCATTTTCTATTTTTTTCTTCAAAAATAAATTAAATAGCAGAAAGCGGTATCGAACCTGCACCCCCTCTTACCTCTAGAAACGACTATTCTCTAAATTAATTCTCAATTATTTTCCATCAGAAAGGAATTTCTCACCCATCTAAAGATTAAATTTAGCCATTTTATAATTCCATCCTCAAGCATAAAATAATTGGCAGACAAGCGGTATCGAACCTGCATCCTCTTCACTTATCTACCTCTCATTTTTCAAAATTTATTTTCATCAGAAAAAATCTCACACCCATATAAAAATCACATTTAGCTATTTTTTACAATTTTTAATTTTTCTCTTTATTAAGAAATTAATTATCTGACAACCGGTATCGAACCCACAGCCCTCTTTCCCATCTACCAGCAGCAGTCACACAACTAACCCACTACACCACAAATTAAAATGCTCCCAACTGTGTTTACTTTACCACCCTGATCACATTACACTTGGGTATTTTCTACGTATTTTTGATAAACAAAAAATATAAAGTAAAAAAAAACAAAAAATATTAATAATTGTTCTTTTTTCAATTCTTTTATCAAAAAAATTTTTTTCCTCCCCAATTTTTTTATTTTCTCTTTTCTCATTGTTGTTCTTGTTGTGGTCACTTTTCCTTGTTCTTTTGGTTGTTTTCCTTTTTATCCGCAAAACGGCAAATAAAAATTTTAACAAAAAAAAAACAAAAAAAGAAGCGGATTAAAGACAAACAAAAAACATTTTGTGGCCAAGGGCGGAACATAAAAAAATAATTTGTAGAGTGGAAGAAAATAAAATTGAAAAACAGGCCAAATCTTTAGCGAATTCTTAGCGATCGGCGGCGTGAAAAGCTGAGACGGAATAAAAGAAAAATAAAATAAATGTGTGGTTGTTATTGTTGGACATTAAAAACAAATCCTTAATTTTCTACTGTTTTTCTTCAATTTAATTTTTGCTTGTTTCAAGAAAACTAGCTTTTGTTTAAAAGGTGTGGTCAGTGGTCGGTAGCTAAACGAAATTTGATATATAATTTTTGAAGACTGAGAGATTTGTCTATATAAAAGTCACGCCTAAAATTATTTTTAATAAGTATACCCGCTTGTTTAATTATTTTCATAAAATACAAAAATGGCTTTTAATCTGCTTCTGATTTATATGTAAGTTGGAATTTTTACTGTAAATTTAAGACTAAAACTTTTTCCGGAAAGTTAATTAATAATAACGTATAGGAAGCTTTTCCGGATGGTTGAAAATGTTCCGGAATATTTTTAATAGAATTACGGAAACTTTGTGATATTTATATTTCGGGAGGTTTTTACTTCCGGAAATTCTTTAATAAATATATATTTTTCGGACTGCGTAATTTATTCCGGAAAATTACAATAAGTTTCCGCAAAGTCCGTAATCCATTCCTTGTATTCTTATTATTAAATAATCTCAAAAAAATTTTTTTTCAGATTGTTACTTCTTTTTCTTCAATCTTCTACAAAAGCTGAACTTGCAGCTGTAAGTCTCCCTCATATACACCGCCATTTTCCCATTTTATTTTCAGTGGCCGGCTACTTCATATTCCCCTTTAATTGAAAATTTGCTCAATTCTGGCAGAAATGGCTTACCTATGGGTCCTGGCGGATTGCCCCCTCCTCCTGATTTTCCCGTTTTTCCACCTACAACGGTAAAATAAATTTAAAAAATTTTCAAAGCCAAAATTAAGGTCACCGTGGTTGCTTCATCTCAGCCATCATTTTTCCCTTCAGTCCCGCCACCTCCACCTCCCATACCTCCTCCGCCTGTGGCAATGGCACCTCCAATGATTTGCACTCCTCCTCCACCGATTTTACCACCACCGCCAATTGCTGCTGATTTTCCTCAGCCGATGCCGCCACCATTACCTCCGCCGATGCCTCCAATGATGGTCTCTTTAACGAACAAATATATTTTATTTTCCAAGTTTTTAAGGCTATTTTGCTGTCCAGAAGTCCAATGATGTCAGCTCCTCTTCCAGGAGGTCCTTGTTTGCCTACACTACCGCCTCCAGGCGTGCCTTTTTTGGCAGACTTGGTTAATTTTTTAGAAAATTCTCTCAATTTCTCCCTTCATTTCAGACAATACTTCCACCACCACCTCCACCAACTCCATTTCCGGGAACTATGCCACAAATGTCTCCACCTCCACCACCCCCTCCTCCACTTGAAATGCCTGGACCTCCTCTTCCGCCATCACTTCCACCTCCGCCTCCACCACTAATGCCTACTCTTCTACCGCCACCTCCGCCTCCACCAATGCCAATGGGTGGACCTCCACCACCTTTTCTTGCAATACCTCCATTAACAGTAAGGCTGATAACGCCGCTTCTTTCTTCTGCGGCACCTTTGATGTTTATGCCTCCTCCGCCACCCATCTGTCCGCCTTGTCCACCTCCACAATTGCTTCCTCCACCAATACCTCCACCACAGCTTCAACCTATGCCTGCACAGGTTTTATTATTTAATATAGTAGGACCTCGAGATAAGAACTACACGAAAATAGGAAACAACAATTTAACGTAAAAGTGGATAGGTGAGTTGCCAAAACGTACCCTCTATTTAACCCCTCTAATTAATAGACATCTCATTACGAGCTATATCTAATCGAATATCTAATCCATTATAAGCTATGATTTTTTCAGCCCTAAGAGGCATCTTCTAGTGAGGTCCTACGGTATCCTAATTTTAAATGACAAAATTTTTTTTAGATGCTTTGCCAATGTCTCCCTCCACCCCCACCTCCAATGCTTCCACCACCACCAATATCAGCAGCACCACCCCCAGCATGTCTGCCTCCATTTTGTGTAGAAGTATTTCCACCAGGAGGGCCAATTCCTCCTCCACCGCCACCCCCTCCTCCACAAGGATTTTTACCTCCTCCTCAATTTTCACCATTTTCACTTAGAAAACTTGGCAAATAAGGCAGAAAAAACAAATTGATAGAATTTTGTTAAATTTATTTTTAATACATATTTTATATTATTTTTAATAAAATTATTAAAAATTCTCATTAGTCTTAATTAACGTTATACAATGAATTTTTTCCGCGTGTTTCCACGGAGCACCTCATGAAGTCTGGCCCTATAATTCAACAAGGAATATTCTAATGTTCTAAACAGATTCCCTATAAATAAATCCTCCACATCTCAATCGTTGGCAGAATCTCACTGAACCATTTTTTACACACATTACCTCACAAATTAGTGTCGAACTTTTAGCCCTCAAAGCCATTGATTCGCTTTTATTAACCCAAAGTCCCGGGTAACACCCTTTATCCCCAAATCTCGGATATCATTTTTTAGTGCAAAAATCCTCAGATATCTCTCATACTCACCATTATTTTAATCCCAAAACCTTTAATATTAATCCCCTCAATCTCCCAAATTTCTGATTTTACCCTTTTTACCAAAATTCTCCGATAAAGCATCGGCAAATCCCATGTATCGGCACTTTTCACCCAAAATCCTTAGTAATAACTTTTTCTCACTTATACCATTCATCATTTACCAAATTCAAGCGAAATTTCCAAATCCCTGATATCACCTTTTATCCCCAAAATTCTCTGTCGTACCCTTTTGTCACATCTAATCCGATTTTATTAATCCCTAGAAATCCCATAATATTCTTGTGTTTTTTTTATTTATTCTCTGATACCACCTCTAATAACCAAACTCTGTATTCTTCGAAGTCCAGATATCACCCTTTATCTTTAACTTGCTTAAACCCTTAATCACTCCCAAATCCTACAATTCCACTAATCCCCTAATAACCGTTTTCCTCCTAATATGAGTATATATCCGTATTAATTTTGCACTTTGAACCCTTAAACTCCTGATATCACTTTTTATTCCCCTTAATCTCACATATCTCAGTATTTGTGATTAAGGTATTTGAACTCACACAGTATTTGAAACACAAATATCAAAACATCCGATAACATTTTTTATTCCCACAACCCAAATATCACGTTTATTCCCCACGATCCCCTCTCATTCACCACCAACTAAAATTACTTTTTTCTTTTAATTTATTAAAAATTATTTTAAAAAAGAATTAAATTCACTTTCCTATTAGCCTTCTATTCCGCAAAACTACAATATATCACTTTTGTCCTAAAAATCACCCGTCACCACCCTCTAACGTCTAACCATCTCTACCAC